TCAAAGGAAGAAAGCCACGATGTATTTGTACCAGAGGTTTGAAAGATATATTGATGCAGGGATTGATGCTTTTGAAGATGCTATGAACCGTCGTTTGGTAAATTATATTCTAAATACTTTACATAAAATTTGTATTTATTGTTTCTTTGTGCTAACACATTTTAAACAAATTCCAAAATGCAGTTCTTTTTTCTAGTCATTTCATCTGACCACCTATATGTAATATGCCTTGATTTGATGATTGGCTATACCCGGATTGATATAATCGACAATTCCTCCGTCGATGGTGATCAAACATACAAATATGGCAATATACCTGGTACATTGGTAAGTACTGTCTCACACATTTTAAGTCATTATACAAACTTTAACATTCTGTTGTAATTTTTTTTTTAAAATAATTTTCTTTTATTGCAGAAGGAATATTTTGCACGGTATTTGCGTAGGAAAATGATATTCTCCGCTGAACAGGCAGTTAAAAATGCTGAACCAACAAGAATGGAGATGAAATGGAGAGATTCAAAAAACAAGACTGATTGTGACGTATTTGCAATGCGCCACATGGAAACATACATGGGCACAGGAGCAAAAGATTGGGAATGTCGCATCCGGAAATGAAAGAAGACAGATCTTGATCATCTCAGGGTCAAGTACATTGCAGCCATATTAAATGCTGAAAATAACGAATTGTCAATTGCGAACAACGAAACAGTTGGTCTTGGAAAGAAATGATGAATTAGTACTAGTTTATGTAATTAACAAACATTGGAATATTTTTGTTATATAAAATTCTTTTGTTACATTAAGCAAATTAAGTTATATTTTGACGCACATTAGGATTAACATTGATGCCACTTAATACCTCACGTAGTTGAAAAATCTTAACATGTTTATAAACACAAAGTTAATATGCGTTTGGTTTTGTAAAAGACTTAAATTTGCGTCAACAAAAACTAAACATGCGTGTTGGAGGGCTTCAAAAAGACAAATCTTAACATGCGTGAGTTTGTTTATTAACAACAACAAACTTTTAAAAAAACAAAAAAAAAAATAGAACTTCAAAATCATTAATGTGCGTTTAATATACTGTATTATGTGCCAGTAATTGTAATGGGTGTCACCTGTATATTTAATGGACCTAACGGTTTTAAGATGCGTTAAATCCACACTTAATGTGTGCCGCTAAATATTTAAACATGCGTATGCTAATACTTCAGTGTGCTTGTGTGTTAAGTTATTTCGCGCATTGAACTTAAAAGAGCACAGTTCTGTCATTTAAAATCAATTTCGCGCACTCCAGTTGTAAAATAACTGAATTAGTACTCCGAATATTAAAAAAGAAAAAAAAAACCCCCAAAAACAGAAACCTTCCTACCTTCGCGTTGTTCAATTTCAAAAAGCATTTTTCAAAACTTTTACACATTACAATCATCATTATCCATTCGAAATTTTTTTTTAACAACACCGCACACATATTGTTATTTCATTCCATATTTTGTGATCAAATCCAAGTGCTTGAAATAGGAAATACTGAGCAATATTATACAAATTCTTTATTTTTACTAGTTATTAATGTTATTTGAGTTCATTAATTTTTTTTTTAAAAAAAATAGTTATCATATATTTGTTTTTAAATATATACACTAAACATTTTGAAAAAAAAAAAAAAAACATAAAAAATTAGGCAGATATTGGCTAAATAGTTGGGTAGGTCCAAGAAGGACAGAAAGTCTACAATTATGATATTCCAATATAATCGAAAAATATTACTAGTACACTTTTCTATGTTGGTTGGCACTCCACATCAAAGAATTTTCTTGATACCTGGAAACTTCATAACTTGTTGGATGGTTGGGTCAATGTTTCCCATTATTTACAAGAAAGCTAAGTCTTTATACTTGTATAGGTGAGTCCGTTTATTCCATATTGATGGGTAGACGCAATAATTCGTATTTTGTGTGAATGTCTCTGGAATTTTCTGTGAATGTAGCAGTACGTGTTTGAATTGACATTTACATCATTTGTCCACAAGGGCTGAATCCATACGAGTCTTTCAGCCCGTTAAATAATTAGCATTTAATCAAAGGCATAACTATACAATTCTCTCCATCCGTCATGAAAATATATGAGAAATATTGCACAACTAATTATACTCACTCAGTGAGGACATTTGACTCTTTGTGTTTCAATAGGTTGAGAAAGTATGTGTAGACAAACATTATATTGTAACAGAATTAATAGTACTAAAAAACAAAAATACCTAAATTAGTACTCTGTAGTTTTATTTTTTGAAACACAATACGCTTGTATTACATTATAAATAATTTTAGATGCATACAAATTTTACAGTAATTTCATTTTATTATTTTACACAAAATAATAGAACTAATAATTAATTTACAAGGGCTTTCAAAAAAAAATTTATTTACAAGTGAACAATAAATATAAATAAAATATAAATTTATATAAACATGCAATTTTATTTGCAACAAATACTTTTCTTACACTAAATAAAATTCTAATACTTTTATTTTATTCTAAATTCTAATTTCTAAAGTTACACATAAAGGCGGCTTCCGGGAAATAGAAGATAATACGGAGTAAAGGAAAATTGTAATTTATGTTCCTTATTTTATATATATGTCAATTATTAATGTCACTCTTAAATTATTAGTGGTGTAAATATTGACCTTTAATTTTTAAAATATGACATATATTGCTCCTCCCCTAATAAGAAGAAGGAGATCAGAAACATTGTTGTCAGTGAGAGGAGAACAAACGAAGAAAAATAATGGAGAAAAAGAGAAGTGGTCTTCAAATAGGAAAACAACGGGTAACCATAATTACATCGTATCACTAATAATTTTGGGGAGAGACAATATATGTAACATTTTAAAAATTAAAAGACAACATTTACACCACTAATAATTTAGATGTAACATTGATATTTGACATATTTATGAGCGACATAAATTATAAATTTTCACGGAATAATATATTAAAATAAAATCAAATAGTAAATAATTCCGTGTGGCTGTTTAGATAAGTGTTCAATGATGTGATGTTTATCGGATTCTCGCATTTACATCATTTTTCCACAAGGACCACAACATCGTGTAAGCTATAGAAAGGTCAACTTATTAAAAAAAAAAAGGTTAGTAACTAAAAAAAATCAATATATCATTATCATTTTTATCAATCGAAAAGAAAATAAAAAAGAATAAAAAGGTTTGAAATCAACATTAGTATACAAGAGGAAAATTTGAACACGCATGAAATTAAGATCTAATAAATAGGTTGATTGCGAAGTTCATGGAGCTCTAAGGGTGGAATTATATGGATTTAAAATTTGTCTCGCGAAAGAGGCCAAAAATGACATAAATATTAAAATAAATTGTGGAATTCTGTTAGTGTAGTGTTTGAATTGGCACTTACATCATTTTTCCACAAGCTAGCGGTAGGAAAGGGAATAAAGATTCTGGGACAGTGACACGATCAGTTGACAGTTGGTGACCAAGTTCATGCATTGAATAACTAATTAAAGTATATGATACGTTAATTGCAGCATTATATTAATAAAGTAACAATATGAGACAAAACATGCATGATTTCCTTGTCAACTTTGAACAAAAAGCTCAATGGGTTTCATCTTTTCCACCATGCGAGTGTTCAAGAAAAAGTCATAAGTTTGGGAGAAGAAAAAGTCATAAGTTGGACAACTTCAACCGAGTTAATTAGTCGGACATTCAGACCGCTGACTTAATAATATAACTATAATACTACAAGTTTAATTTTCGATGGAAGTTGTTTATTGGTCTTTTTGATATGAGTAGGTCAGTTATGGACAATTTAGACGGATTTGTCCAATGTACACAATTTGGTAGTGATTGAGGGTTTCCCTCGTAAAAGTCATAAGTTTTTTTTAAGCTTACTTTCCAAAATTGATGGATACATTCAATAATAAGAATCCGTTTGAAAATTCAAAAAATAACTTTCAGAAATTTCGAGATAAGGGTCAAATAGACCCTTCAACTATAGGCCAAAATGCAATTAGCCCATTAAACTAATAAAAACTTCAATTAGACCCTTCATCTTTTCACTTTCATGCAATTAGGTTAATTAACATGTTACATTTAAGTTACAGGTAAATTTTTTTTTAATTTTAAATTTAATTAAAATAAAAAATATATTTTTAATTAAAATAAATTTTGTTAAAAAAATTTCGACGACTGATTGGCTTCTCTGTGTAATACAGAGAAGCAGGCCATGGCTTCTCCATCCAGTTGGACGGAGTCGATCTAACTTCTTCGTCCAGCAGGCCATGTCTTCTTCGTCCAACTAGACGGAGAAGTAGGCCTGGGCGCCTGGCTTCTCCGTCCAACTTTTCAGTTTTTTTTTTTTTTTTTTGTGTAAATTCTTTAAAAAAAAAAAATTATCTGCTATTACTTTGTGTTTACTACAAATTGAGCTAATTGTACAAATTTAAAATTTATGGACTTAATTGCATATAAATAAAGAGATGAAGGTTTGTTAGTTGATGGGGCTAATTGCACGTTGGTTTATAGTTGAATGGACTATTTGACCCTTATCCCGGAAGTTTTTTTATTTTTATTTTTCTTGTTTGGTATTCAAAGAAAATAAAAAGAAAATATTTATTATGGTCAAAGAAAAAATTAATTTGGAGGATAACAGTCTTCCAACATTTTTAATTGAAAATTATTTTTCAGATTCTTTTTTTTTTCCTGTCTTTTTCTTCTTTTTCTCCATCTTTCAAGCTAGTTTCTAGATTTTTTATATCTAGAAAATAGTGGAGAAATTACAAATTTGATGATCTGAAATAAGATCTATTTTTAAAAGTGAGAGAGTATTATATGTATAAGGATAACATAATACAACTTTCAACAACTCAGGAGCTAAAAATGATAATACCCATAATATATATTTAGGGAAGAAAAATATAAATTTCCCTTCTTTTATAATATACAAAAATACAGTTTCAGCCAAGGACAAGAAGAATTCTGACACTCCAAAAGCTGGTGGACGGGGTGAGTCGGCGACGGACGAAGTTCAGCTTTTAACCCGACCTGCGCCTGCGCTATAGCTACAGGATTTTCTCTGACTGGTATTAATTAATTTGCTTCGCTTTTTCATTTACAATATTGCAAGTTAATTATACTATAATCATTGAAAAGTTAGTACTAGCTAGTTTGGTTTCAAGCCTGCTGTGACCTTTTTCGAATTCTTAATTATTTTAACTAGTTTGCTTTAATCCTTGTCTGCAGATCTTCTGGGGTGGGGTGGGATTGATCCAGTAAGTGGTGATGGATGATTCCCAGAAATGGATTATTGTTGTTTTCTTAACAATCTTGAGTTTGCATGTTTGTGCCATGGCTGCCGATGATTTTGATGTGAATTTTGAATGGCATAACTGCGGAGAGAATGGGACTTACACTGGAGGCAGCCCATACGGCATCAACCTTAACACACTTGTGTCATCCCTCTCAGACAAACTAAATAACTACGGATTCTATAATGGTTCCATTGGGGAAGACTCAGAGAGGGCTAGCGCTATTGCGCTGTGCAGAGGGGATGCCGACATTAATCTATGTCGTACCTGTGTTAAGGAAACTGCTGGGAGGATTATAGATTTGTGTCCTACTCAGAAGGAGGCATTCGGGTGGTACAACATCTGCAGTATATATTACTCAGATAAATCTATCATAGGCGGTTCTTGGCAAACCGCTCCTGTGAAAGAACAAAATAGTAACATCACTCATGAGAATGCTGTTGAGTTCAATGAAGATTTGGCAAAGCTGGTAAACAGGCTACGAGGAACAGCTGCAAATGGCGATCAATTCCTCAAGTATGCTGCTGATAGTATACCCGGACCAGGTTCCCAGACCATATATGCGTATATGCAGTGCACCCCTGATTTATCTGTTCAAGATTGCACTGATTGTCTAAACAATGCCACCACTGTATGGAATAACTCCGATGGCAAAGGCAAGATTGGGGCGAGAGTACTGCGTCCCAACTGCTTTTTCCGCTATGAGAATAGCACTTTCTTCAGTAACACCCTCATAAATCAATCTGTTTCAACATCTCCACCTCCACCACCACCGCCACCACCACCAGGTAAACTTTTGTACAAGTCTTACACGCCCACAAAAGGCAAAATCCTCGCCCATCCCTATAAGATAGCTGAAGGATAAATCAAGGTAACTCAATAGTACTTTAGTTGAGGGGACCAGTGCCTGTCTGCTCACAAGGAGCTCACCATATTGTGTGTAACTCCCATACTGTAGCTGCAGGACTCAATCTTGTGTCTTAACCCACAATCTCCCACCTAGTAATTACATGCTTATATGATCGTGCAATAAAATTTTGGGAATACATTTCTTATCTGCAAATAATCCAAAGATGGATTTTGTTTTTGCAGGGCCAGATGGTAATAATAAAACAGTCATCATTATTGTTGTTTGCATTGCTGCGGGTCTTATGGGAATTGCTATATGCATTTTTATCATCTATAGAAAGTTGCAGAAAAGGAAGGCCAATAGCTATGTGAAGAGTAAGTTCCAATTAGATTTTAAATTGTAACCAAATTGTTCATACGCTTGACTTTAATGTTTGAGTTGAATCTCAAAAGACTGTTCTTGGTTTCTATGTGAAGCTATGGAAGAAATTAGCTCTACTGATGAAATTAGTGTTGTGGAGTCTTTGAAATATGACTTGATTACCCTACAAAATGCAACAAATAATTTCTCTGAAGCAAATAAGTTAGGAGAAGGAGGATTTGGGCCAGTATACAAGGTAAATTTAACGATTACAATTTATTAAAGTTTTATTTTTACTCTTTTTTTTTTTTTTTTTAAATATGAACTCTAAAATAATTCAGGGTAAACTTGAAAACAGACTAGAAGTTGCTGTGAAGAGGTTATCTGAAAATTCAAGGCAAGGTAATCTAGAATTTAAAAATGAGGTGGCATTAATGGCTAGACTTCAACATAGAAATTTGGTGAGGCTGCTTGGTTACTGCCAAGAAGGAAGAGAAATTATTCTTATTTATGAATTTGTTCCCAAGGGCGGCCTTGACAATATTTTATTTGGTAATAGTTCTCAAACTCGTCTTTCACTTCGATTTAGGAATTTGAATCCATATCTTATCAGTTAAATGTTGTCTTTCAGATCCTGTAAAACGTGGATGTTTGGATTGGGGGAGACGCTACAAGATCATAGAAAGCATTGCTAGAGGACTTGTGTATATGCACGAAGACTCTCGTCTTCGCATTATTCATCGTGATCTCAAAGCTAGTAATATTCTTCTAGATGTAGATTTGAACCCAAAGATTGCTGATTTTGGCGCAGCTACGTTGTTTACTTTAGATGAAACTCAAGGCTCTACAAGCAGAATCGTTGGTACCTAGTAAGTACTCTTTACTAATCTAAATTTCAGCCGGAAGATTTATACATTATAAAGTAACTTGATTAATCAAATAATACTGGAGTAACACACTCAACCACTTCACATTGTAGTGGATATATGCCACCGGAGTATGTATGTCAAGGCCTATTTTATGTTAGATCAGACGTATATAGTTTTGGAGTGTTAGTCTTGGAAATTATAAGTGGAGAGAAGAATACCCGTTTTCAAAACGAAGAATCTATGAAAGACCTTGTGAGCTATGTAAGTATGACTATTAATTAGTATTGATGTGCATATGACTAAGAAATTATTATATTGACATAAATAACTTCGGTTGTGAATATAATGCTGTTACAGGCTTGGAGTCATTGGAAAAGCGGGTCTGCTTCAAATGTGATAGATCCAATGCTAAGAGGTACATCAAGTCCAGTGCATGAGATAACAAAATGCATCCACATTGCGTTGTTGTGCGTTCAAGAAAATGTTTCAGACAGACCAACAATGGGTGAAGTTCTTCAAATGCTAAGTAACTTAACCATGACCCTTCCAATACCTATAGCCCCAGGATTTTTTATCCATAGCAACATTAATTTAGAGGCGTCGAACCAGTCGTATACCAAAAATGAGATGTCAATTAGTGAGCAGTTTCCCAGGTAGCATCCAAAGTCATACCAAACTCATCAATTCAAGCACATCATGTGGTTGCTCTTTGATATTGCTTTTAGTTCTGTATTGTTTTTGTAATTGTGATATTTGTCTGAGAATTTGTTCTTCATACTATTCTCCATCTAGCTGCTAATATGTTATTGAGTTTTATACTTTTTGGAACGTTCATTGGCTGCTGTGTTTAATCTGTTGCATATGGTTTTGGTGTTTAGTAGTTTGTAACAGCTTAATTGTGTCTTGTTTTATAGATTGCAGTCATTTTCTTGCTAAATGAGATGTCTTTAGCTCCACAGTATGTACGTATGTATGTATCAGCCTTAGCTTGGAAGTTACAAGTGTGTTGAAGATTTCGTCTTTTCAAAAGGAGGAAAACATACATGGAATCTCATAAATAATATATGAAAGGTATTCCTAGAAGTGGAGTTTACATGTACACTTTATTGAATAATGTAGGAAAAAAGGATTAAATTGGCCTCTAAAATTAAACGGATAGCACAATTAAGATTCTAAGTAAAAGAAAAGTTCTATTCAGAATCCCCTTAAAACGATTAAAATGTCCAATTGAATCTTAAATCAACACGTTTAGTGGGTTGGTACTTCTCATACTGACACGCGTCACGTTTTTTAAATTTTGATTTTAATACATGTATAAAAAAACAAACTTTTTAAACTTATTTTTATTTAATTTTTTTTTTGAATTTTTTTAATTAAAGTATAAAAAAAACAAAAATTGAAAAACAAGACACGCATCCGTCAGAAAAGCACCAACTTGCTAAACATGTTATTCAGGACTCAATTGAATATTTTAGTTAGTTTAGGGGTTTGAATGAAGATTTTTTTTTTTTTTTTTTTTTTTGCTCAGGAACTTAATTGCAATATCCACAATTTAGGGATATCACCATTGTGGGCAAGAAAAAAGTAACTTGGAGGAAGTGTTTGCTAACTTTATAAAAATATTGATTACTTTTTTCTTGATAATCAATATCCTCCAAGGTACTCATTTCTTGATATAAAATAGAGAATATTGATTATTTATTTAAGCATATAAAATAGAGAAACAACTTACCTATGGATTTCACAACTTGGAACTTGGAAATGGATGAATTTGAGATTTCAAAGCTTGGGGAAGAAAAAAACCTTCGATTGTAAGTATAAGAAGAAAATAATGACGGTTGCACAATGAGTTTTAACATAAGAAGGGGATTATAATTTGAAATTCCTATTTTACCCCTCTATTATTAAATTGTTTTTTAGTTTTTTAGTTATCTGCAGACAGAATATTAACACTAAGGACCGAACTCGTCAGTTTATTTATAACTGAGAGACTAAACTCGGATATGACCATAACTTAGGGACTAAGTCAGAACTTGGTGTAACTTAGGGACTAAAAATGCTATTATTATTATTATTATTATTATTATTATTATTATTATTATTATTATTATTATTATTTCTTTTTTTTTTTTTTGAAAACATTATTATTATTATTATTTCTAGTTTAGCAATATGACATCAACAAACGATAATATGGATGGAGAGAATTTTAAGTGGACCAACAAATGCGTGGTGCTTTTTGGTGAGATTTCTATCAAATATATTTGAAAAAATGGGCGTAGGGTAATGAAATGGAAAGAGATTAAAGAAGAGTTTGAAACTACCGCCAAACGACAAATTGCTAGATCATGATTATGCTAATAATTTCTATTTCAAAATGTTAAATTTTAATATTTAAACAAAACAATTTAAAATAAACCATTTTTATTTTTAACGGTATTTATTAAACAAAATTTAAAATAGGAAAAATTGCACTTTTCGTCCCTAAGTTATAGGGTAATTGTAGAATTTGTCCATGAGTGTTGGTCATACTCACTTTTCGTCCCTAAGTTATCATTGACGTTGCACTTTTCGTCCCTGAGTTATAGAGTAATTGTAGAATTCGTCCCTAAGTGTTAGTAATGCTCACTTTTCGTCCTTAAGTTATCATTAGCGTTGCACTTTTCGTCCCTGGGTTATATTAAAATTGCAAATCTCGTCCCTAATCACTATTACATAAATGGTATACTACGTCACTTAATAGACAGAGGTCTTTTAAATAACCACCGTCTAATATATTTTGTTATACTACGTCACTGAATAGACGATAATTTTTTAAATAACTGTCGTATATACCTTAATTAATTGTTTTACATCATACACTTTAAAGAACCACCGGCGGTTTTTTTACACATACACGGCGGTTTCAAAATATCGCGCGTGTAAGTGACTGCCGTTGTAAATATACACTTTCTACGGCAGTTTTGAAAACCGCCGTGTATGTTAACTATATACGACAGTTAAATAACTGTCGTGTATGTCAACTATATACGATAGTTATTTAAACAATCGTCGTCTATTAAGTGACGTAGTATAACACAATATATTAGACATCGGTTATTTAAAAAATCACCGTCTATTAAGTGACATAGTTTACCGTTATGTAGCAGTGATTAGGGACGAAATTTACAATTTTAGTATAACTCAGGGGCAAAAAGTGAACGTCAATGATAACTTAGGGATGAAAAGTGAACATGACCAACACTTAGGAACGAATCCTACAATTACCTTATAACTCAGGGACGAAAAGTGTAACGCCAATGACAACTTAGGGACGAAAAGTGAGGATGGCTAACACTTAGAGACAAATTCTACAATTATCCTATAACTTAGGGATAAAAATGCAATTTCCCCTTTAAAATATTGTTCAGAAGATGAGAAGAAGTATTATTTGGTGGGCCCACATTCAGCGCAAAGCGCGTAATCTGGTCAATAGTAAATGAGTAAATAAAGAAATATCTATTGAATTTGGTGCGTAGGTAGTAGGTAGTATCCAAAACTTCTGCCGGGAAGTTTCTTCGTGCCTTCTGGGAAGTGGTCAACTAGCGATAGCGATATGATGCAGTTGCAGCTCAGGGAATAATGGTGGTCTGTGGTATTAATTTGTTTCGATTTGCGTTTTCGTTTAAGATATTTCAAATTTGATTATTCTTCAATTTCTAGTTAAACTTTATAATTTTTTTATTTTTTTTGGGTTTTCCAGTGTTCTCCTAATCTTGAGTTTAGTTTTTATGGATTCCCTGAAACGGATTGGTTTCCAAATCTTAAGAAAAATGAAGGGAATTGGAAGGAAGCCCAAACGTTATGAAGACTGTAAGGAAGACTGTAAGGAAGACTGTAAGCTCCAATAACACTTCACCTTGCAGCCTAATTGTTAATACCCCTCCCCTGACTTTAAAACATGTTTTATTGTTTATTAAGATTCATAGTTACTAGTTGTGAGTTGAATCTCAAAAGATCGTTATTGGTTTCTGTGTGAAGTAGATTCGGATAGTTCTATGAAAGGAGGTAGATATAGATTTTTGGTAAGTTCTCTGGAAGGAATTAGTTTTGCTGAGGAGGCTGTGGAGTATGATTTCATCACTATTCAGAATGCAACAAATAACTTTTCCGACACAAACAAGATAGGAGAAGGAGGTTTTGGTGTTGTATACAAGGTAAATTTATCATTTACTGGTTATTAACGTTTCTTCTGTTTTCGCTTTGGACTAATATTTTTACTGCATTTGATAACCCACATTTGTTTCTACCCTGTTTCTGCCAATCTATAGTTCCATGATTTTGCATGGTGTAGCATGCTTGAAGAATTTTAAAACTTCTTGCTTCCTTCTGTCTTCTTTAAACTCTCTGTATCCCATGTTCTACATCATAGCATATACATATAATACACTTTTGTTTTGTTTTTATTTTTATTTTTATAAATCAATAGTTGATTTTTTATTTTTAATATTTATTTGGGAATAATTTAGGGTACATTTGAAGATGGACAACAAGTTGCTGTGAAGAGGTTGTCTCAAAATTTAAAGGGAGGTAGTCAAGAATTTAAAAATGAGGTTGCTTTAATGTTCAAGTTTCAACACAGGAATTTGGTGAGGCTTCTTGGTTATAGCTTGGAAGGGAAAGAAGTGCTTCTGGTATATGAATTTGTTCCCAATGGCAGCCTTGACAATTTTTTATTTGGTAATACATCTCAAACATGTCTTTCACTTTGATTTGAGAATTTGATGCCATGCCTTTCTAGTTAAATGTTGACATGCAGATCCTGTAAAACGTGAATGTTTGGGTTGGGAGAGACGTTACAAAATAATAGAGTGCATTGCCAGAGGGCTTATCTATCTGCACGAAGGCTCTCGTATTCGCATTATTCATTGCAATCTCAAAGCTAGTAATGTTTTACTAGATGAAGATTTGAACCCAAAGATTATGGACTTTGACATGGCCAAGTTGTTTGCTTTAGACAAAATCCACAACTCGACAAGCAGAATCATGAGAACCAGGTAAGTATTCCTTACTAAACTAATTGAATTTGCAGTTGGAACATAGATGCATTGCATTATAATTTGGTTAAACTTACTACTGGAGTAATTAATACATTTATCCACTTCATGTTGCAGCAGATATATGGCACCTGAGTATGCGTTGCAGGGTGAAATTTCTATTAAATCAGACGTATATAGTTTTGGAATGCTAATTCTGGAAATTATAAGTGGACATAAGATTTCTAGTTTTCAAAATGGAGAATCTACAAATGATGACCTTTTAAGCTATGTAAGTATGTATATCAGTATCAACATGCATATGAATAACAAATTTAATTGACATAAATAGCTTGGAGTGTTCTCACAGGTTTGGACACATTGGAAAGGTGGGTCCGCTTCAAATGTGATAGATCCAATGTTGAGAGGTATATCAAGTCCAGTGCATCAGATAACAAAATGCATCCACATTGCCTTGTTGTGTGTTCAAGAAAATGTTCCAGATAGACCAAAAATGGCTGAAATTCTTCAAATGCTAAGTAACTTATCTATGAGCCTTCCAGTACCTCTAGCCCCAGGATTTTTTAGGAAAATGCAGAAGAAGAAGGCCAAAAGCTATGTGAAGAGTAAGTTCCATGCAGACTTTAACTTGCAACCTAATGATCGAGTAGATTCTCAAAAGACCGTTCTTGGTTTCTATGTGAAGCTGTGGAAGAATCTAGCTCGAGTGTTGAAATTAGTCATGTGGAGTCTCATTTCAAATATGAATTGATTACTATACAAAATGCAACAAATAACTTCTCTGAAGCAAACAAGTTAGGAGGTGGGAGATATTGGCTAGTATACAAGGTAAATTTCACATTAACCTTACTAAGTACTGTAATTAACTGTTACAATTTAATAAAATTTTAAATTTTCAATAACTCGGTGTTATTTATATTATTCTGGTGGTATAATTCAGGGAAAACTTGAAAATGGACTAAAAGTTGTTGTGAAGAGGTTATGGAAATATTCAAAGCAAGGTAATTTTCAATTTAAAAATGAGGTGACTTTAATAGCTAAGCTTCAACACAGGAATTTGGTGAGGCTATTTGGTTATTGTCAAGAAGGAAGAGAAATGATTCTTGTCTATGAATTTCTTTCCAATGGTGGCCTTGACGGATTTTTATTTGGTAAATATTTATTAAACTGGACTCTTGGTTTGGTTTAGGAATTTGAAACCATATGTTTTAAGTTAAATGTTGACATGCAGATCCTGTAAAATGTGGATATTTGGATTGGGGGAGACGTTACAAAATAATAGAAAACATTTGTAAAGGGCTTGTTTATCTGCACGAAGACTCTCGTCTTCGCATTGTTCATCGCGATGTCAAAGCTAGTAAAATTTTGCTAGATGCAGATTTGAACCCAAAAATTACAGACTTTGGCCTTGCCTGGTTCTTTGCTTTAGATGAAACTGAAGATGAAGATGTAGTCGTGGGGACCCAGTAAGTACTCCATACTAAACTAATACATCACAAAGTAATTTAATTAGTCAACTTACTAAGACTAATGCATTTATCCACTTCACATTGTAGCGGATATATGGCACCAGAGTATGCATTTTATGGCCAATTTTCTGTTAAATCAGACGTATATAGTTTTGGTGTGTTAATCCTGGAAATTATAAGTGGTCGAAGGAATTATTCTGCACCTGACTTTTACCTTCTAGATGATGTAAGTATGAATTGGATATCAATGTCGACTTGAGTAATAAATTTCATTGACATAAACAGCTTGCGATTTTTCTTATAGACTTGGACACATTGGAGATGCGGGTCTCCTTCAGATGTGATAGATCCAATGCTGAGACGTTTGTCAAGTCCAGTGGATGATATAACAAAATGCATCAAAATTGCATTGCTGTGTACTGAACCTCGTCATGCACTTAGGCCAACAATGGGTGAAGTTCTTCAAATGCTAAGTAACTTAACCATGACCCGTCCAATACTATAGCGTTGAAGACTGTAACGGGAACAAAACAAAAAAAGTTGGCAAAAATATGACGTTTTTTAAAATTGGACGAAAATAGAAAAAGATCCTTTCGCAAATGCGTTTGTTGTCAGATAATTTTGTTTTGTTTTGTTTTGTTTTTTTTGTTTTTTCATGGTTAAACAGACTCGTATTGTATACGAGACAGGTAAGTCCCACTTGTATGTCTGTGATTTTTTTTTATTTATTTATTTATTTATTTTTTTTTTTTTTAAAGTTGGTCATCTGACATTTTTAAAAGTTGAATGAAAATAAGAAAAATTCATTTCTCAAATGCATATGTTAACAGAATATTTATTTTGTTTTTATTTTTTTTTTTCACGGTCAAACAGACACGCATGTCTCGTATTGCTATTGCGTTTAGTTCTGTATTGTTTTTGTAATTGTGATATTTGTCTGAGAATTTGTTCTTCATACTATTCTCCATCTAGCTGCTAATATGTTATGGAGTTTTATATTTTTTGGAACGTTCATTGGCTGCTGTGTTTAATCTGTTGCATATGGTTTTGGTGTTTAGTAGTTTGTAACAGGTTGATTGTGTCCTGTTTAATTTTATACGGAGTACATTGCAGTCATTTTCTTTGTAAATCAAGTTTCTTTACATCTAAAAAACGTGAATCAGTATCGTGAGCTCGACATAGGATGGCTAATCTCCCTCAGGATGAGAATGCTTGAGATAAATGGAATGGAAATAGAGACAGAGTCTCTCCCTGAAACCGAACTGCCGACGGCAACCCCTCAGCCTGAAAACCAGGTACGTGACTTGACTGGCAATTATGGCTCGTGGATGTTGGTAACACGAAGGGACAGGAGAGGACCGAGGAGAAACGATGCTCGTCAAGATTTTGGAAAACAAGGTACACCCTGCAAGGCAAGAGACCCACGGCAAGGTTTAGGAGTCCCATCAAGATTTGCCACCCTTCAAGGTCTAGATGGAGAGGAGGGGGTGCCTAATGTTCCTCTGCGCCAATTGGCGTGGTGGTTGTCCTTGCTGGTTTGCGGCTTCCTTTTCTTTTTGTTTGCTTGTTTAATGTTTTGCTTGATTTGGAACTGTCAAGGGGCGGCTTCGAAGGCATTCCGTCGCACCCTCAAACAGTTTGTTAGGATCCATAATCCGTCAATTGTGTGTCTACTTGAACCTAAGGTGTCGGGCCAGCAGGCGAATGAAATTTGCTCAAGCTTTGGTTTTTCCGAGTGGATTAGAGTGGAGGCGGTTGGATTCTCGGGGGGGATTTGGATCCTCTGGAAAGACTATCTAACCATTAATATTATCCACACTCACCCTCAGTTCATTGTCTTGCAGGTTGATGAAGGCAATATTATCAACTTCGCATGGACCACGCACCCGAAGTTCCAGGAGCTTGTAGACCAGTCCTGGGAACCCAATGAGGAGTTAGAAGCAAACAAAGCATCGTTGGCAGCAGCTCTACAAGCCTGGAATAAGGATGTTTTTGGCAACATCTTCCAAAAGAAAAAAGGGATGCTGGCAAGAATTGATGGTATTCAACGTAGTTTGTGTTTCAAAGCAACTTATAATTTGTTAAGGTTGGAAAGGAGGCTACGACCTGAATTGGAAGATATCCTATTCCAAGAGGAGCTTCTTTGGTACCAGCGGTCAAGAGAAGATTGGATAGCGTCGGGAGACCGTAACACACGATATTACCATGCGGCTACCATGGTAAAAAACAGCAACAAGAGAGTTTATAGATTGAAGGATGACAACGGAGAGTGGATTGAAGAGGAGGGACTGATAAGAGAACATGTTAACAGGTATTATATTAGATTACTGTCCTACTCAGAAGGAGGCATTCGGATGGTACAACATCTGCAGTATATATTACTCAGATAAATCTATCATAGGCGGCTCTTGGCAAACCACTCCTGTAAAAGAACAAAATAGTAACATCACTCATGAGAATGCTGTTGAGTTCAATGGAGATTTAACAAAGCTGGTAAACAGCCTAAGAGGAAGAGCGGCAAATGGCAATCAATTCCTCAAGTATGCAGCTGATAGTATACGCGGACCAGATTCCTAGACCATATATGCGTATATGCAGTGCACCCCTGATTTATCTGTTCAAGATTGCACTGATTGTCTAAACAATACCATCACTGTATGGAATAAATCGGAGGGTAATGGCAAGATAGGGGCAAGAGTACTGCGTCCCAACTGCTTTTTCCGCTATGAGAATAACACTTTCTTTAGTAACACCCTCATAAATCAATCTGTTTCAACATCTCCACCTCCACCTCCACCAACTCTGCCGCCGCCGCCACCACCACCTGGTAAACTTTTGTACAGTCTTACACGCCCACAAAAGGCAAAAACCTCGCCCATCCCTATAAGATAGTTGAAGGATAAATCACGATAACTCAATTGTACTTTAGTTGAGAGGACCAATGCCTGTCTGTTCACAAGGAGCTCACTATATTGTGTGTAACTCCTATACTGTAGCTGCAGGACTCAGTCTTGTGTCTTAACCCACAATCTCACACCTTAGTAATTACATGCTTATATGATCGTGCAGTTAAAATTTTGGGAATACATTTCTTATTTGCAAATAATCCAAAGATGATTTTGTTTTTGCAGGGCCAGATGGTAATAATAAAACAGTATCATTATTGTTGTTTGCATTGCTGCGGGTCTTATCGGGATTGCTATATGCATTTTTATCATCTACAGAAAATTGCACAAAAGGAAGGCCAATAGCTATGTGCAGAGTAAGTTAGAATTAGATTTTAAAGTGTAACCCAATTGTTCATACGCTTGACTTTAATGTTTGAGTTGAATCTCAAAAGATTGTTCTTGGTTTCTATGTGAAGCTCGGGAAGAAACTAGCTCTACTGATGAAATTAGTGTTGTGGAGTGTTTGAAATATGATTTTATTACCCTACAAAATGCAACAAATAACTTCTCTGAAGCAAATAAGTTAGGAGAAGGAGGATTTGGGCCAGTATACAAGGTAAATCTAACAATTACAATTTATTGAAGTTTTATTTTTCTATAACTTAATAATTGTTTTTATTTTTAAATATGAACTCCAAAATAATTCAGGGTAAACTTGGAAACGGACTAGAAATTGCTGTGAAGAGGTTATCTGAAAATTCAAAGCAAGGTAATCTAGAATTTAAAAATGAGGTGGCTTTAATGACTAGGCTTCAACACAGGAATTTGGTGAGGCTGCTTGGTTACTGCCAAAAAGGAAGAGAAATGATTCTTATTTATGAATTTGTTCCTAATGGCGGCCTTGACAACATTTTATTTGGTAATAGTTCTCTAACTCGTCTTTCACTTTGATTTAGGAATTTGAATTCATATCTTATCAGTTAAATGGTGCCTTTTAGATCCTGTAAAACGTGGATGCTTGGATTGGGGGAGATGCTACAAAATCATAGAAAGCATTGCTAGAGGACTTATTTACTTGCATGAAGACTCTCAACTTCGAATTATTCATCGTGATCTTAAAGCTAGTAACATACTACTAGATACAAATTTGAATCCAAAAATTGCAGACTTTGGCACGGCAAGGTTGTTCACTTTAGATGAAACTCAAGGCTCTACGAGCAGAATCGTGGGAACCTAGTAAGTACTCTGTACTAAACTAACTTTCAATCAGCGGAAAGATATATGATGCATTCCAAAGTAACTTGATTAATCAAATACTGGAATAACACACTCAACTGCTTCACATTGTAGTGGATATATGGCACCAGAGTATGTGTATCATGGCTTATTTTCTGTTAGATCAGACGTATATAGTTTTGGAGTGTTAATCTTGGAAATTATAAGCGGAGAGAAGAATACCCGTTTTCAATACGAAGAATCTATGAAAGACCTTGTGAGCTATGTAAGTATGACTATTAATTAGTAGTGATGTGCATATGAGTAAGAAATTATATTGACATAAATAACTTAGATTGTGAATGTTGTTTCAGGCTTGGAGTCATTGGAAAAGCGGGTCTGCTTCAAATGTGATAAATCCAATGCTGAGAGGTACATCAATTCCAGTTTATGAGATAACAAAATGCATCCACATTGGCTTGCTGTGCGTCAAGAAAATGTTACAGACAAACCAACAATGGGTGAAGTTCTAAGTTCTTCAAATGCTAAGTAACTTAACCATGACCCTTCCAATACCTATAGCCCCAGGATTTTTTAACCATAGCAACGTTAATTCAGAGGCGTCGAACCAGTCTACCAAAAATGAGATGTCAATTAGTGAGCAGTTTCCCAGGTAGCATCCAAAGTCATACCAAACTCATCCATTCAAGCACATCCCACGGTTGCTCATTGCTATTGCTTTTAGTTCTGTGTTGTTTTTGTAATTGTGATGTTTGTCTGAGAGTTTTTTCTTCATACTATTGTCCATCTTGTTGCTAATATTATGTTATGGAGTTTTTATTTTTTTGGAACGTTCATTGGTTGCTCCGTTTAATCTGCATACAGATTTGGTGTTTAGTAGTTTGTAATAGCTTGATTGTGTCCTGTTTTATAGATTGCACTCATTTTCTTAGTAAATGAGATGTATTTAGCTCCACACTATGTATGTATGTATGTATCAGCCTTAGCTTGGAGTGTTGAAGAATTCGTCTTTTCAAAAGGAGGAACACAAAAAAGGTTCAATTCAAATTTCATAAACTGATAAAATAAGACAGAGGGAATAATAATCTATTATGAAATCTAAGTACAAAACTATTTTTGCAAATAATTCATTTGAAACCAAAACTTTAAAATAAACCATTTTTATTTTAAACGGTATTTATTAAACAAAAATTTAAAATTTGTTCAGAAGATGAGAATTACTACTGAAGAAGTATTATTGGTGGGCCCACATTCAGCGCAAAACGCGTAAATGAGAAGAAGTATTATGTGTGGAATTTGGTGCGTAGGTAGTAGGTAGTATCCAACACTTGTGCCGGGAAGCTTCTGCATGCCTTCTGGGTCGTGGTCAACTAGCGATATGATGGAGTTGCAGCTCAGGGAATTCTAGCAGACGACTGTGAATGGTGGTCTGTGGTATTAATTTGTTTCGATTTGCGTTTTCATTTAGGGTATTTCAATTTTGATTATTCTTCAATTCTACTTAAACTTCATTTTTTTCCAGTGTTCTCCTAATCTTTGAGTTTAGTTTTTATGGATTCCCTGAAATGGATTGGTTTCCAAATCTTAAGAAAAATGAAGAAATTGAAGCCCAAATGTTATGAAAACTGTAAGCTCCAATAACACTTTAAATTGCATCCTAATTGTTAATACCCCTTACTTTAAAACATGTTTTATTGTTTATTAAGATTCATAGTTACTAGTTGTGCGTTGAATCTCAAAAGATCGTTCTTGGTTTCTGTTTGAAGCTGATTCGGAAGAAATTAGTTTTGCGGAGGAGTCTGTGGAGTATGATTTCATCACTATTCAGAATGCAACAAATAACTTCTCCCAGACAAACAAGATAGGAGAAGGAGGTTTTGGTGTTATGTACAAGGTAAATTTAGCATTTACTTTAATATGGTTATTATCGTTTCCTCTGTTTCCGCTTTGGACTAATATTTTTACTGCATTTAATAAGCCGCATTTGTTTCTACCCTGTTTCAGCCAATTTATAGTTCCATGATTTTGTATGTTTAGCATGCTTGAACAATTTTAAAACTTCTTGCTTCCTTCTGTCTTCTTTAAACTCTCTGTATCACATGTTCTACATCATAGCATATAGATATAATACACTTTTGATTTTCTAAAAGTCAATAGTTAATTTTTTTTTTTATCACTAATTCGGGAATAATTTAGGGTACATTTGAAGACGGACGACTAGTTGCTGTAAAGAGGTTGTCTCAAAATTTAAAGGGAGGTTGTCAAGAATTTAAAAATAAGGCCGCTTTAATGGCCAAGTTTCAACACAGGAATTTGGTGAGGCTTCTTGGTTTTAGCTTGGAAGGAAAAGAAGTGCTTCTGGTATATGAATTTGTTCCAAATGGCAGCCTTGACAATTTTTTATTTGGTAATAGATCTCAAACATGTATTTCACTTTGGTTTGAGATTTTGAGGATATACCTTTCTAGTTAAATGTTGACATGCAGATCCTGTAAAACGTGGATGTTTGAATTGGAAGAGACGTTACAAAATAATAGAATGCATTGCCAGAGGGCTTATTTATCTGCACGAAGGTTCTCCTATTCGCATTATTCATCGGAATCTCAATGCTAGTAATGTTCTGCTAGATGAAGATTTAAACCCAAAGATCGTGGACTTTGACATGGCCAAGTTGTTTGCTTTAGACAAAACCCACGACTCTTCAAACATAACCAGGTTAGTATTCTTTACTAAACTAATTGAATTTGCAGTTGGACGATGATTGCATTGCATAATAATTTGGTTAAACTTACTGGAGTAATTAACACATTTATCCACGTCATGTTGCAGCGGATATATAGCACCAGAGTATGAGTTGCAGGGTGAAATTTCTGTTAAAACAGACGTATATAGTTTTGGAGTGTTAGTCTTGGAAATCATAAGCGGACAGAAATTTGTCAGATTTCAAAATGAAGAATATATGAATAACCTTTTAAGCTATGTAAGTATGAATATAAGTATCAACATGCACATGAATAACAAATTTAATTGACATAAATAGCTTTGAGTGTTCTCACAGGCTTGGACACATTGGAAAGGTGAATCTGCTTCAAATGTGATAGATCCAATGCTAAGTGGTATATCAGGATGTCCAGTGCATGAGATAACCAAATGCATCCACATTGCCTTGCTGTGTGTTCAAGAAAATGTTCCAGATAGACCAAAAATGGCTGAAATTCTTCAAATGCTAAGTAACTTATCTATGAGCCTTCCAGTACCTCTAGCCCCAGGGTTTTTTAGGAAAATGCAGAAGAAGAAGACCAAAAGCTATGCGAAGAGTAAGTTCCATGCAGACTTTAACTTGCAACCTAATGATCGAGTAGATTCTCAAAAGATTGTTCTTGGTTTCTATGTGAAGCTGTGGAAGAATCTAGCTCAAGTGTTGAAATTAGTCATGTGGAGTCTCGTCTAAAATATGAATTGATTACCATACAAAATGCAACAAATAACTTCTCTGAAGCAAACGAGTTAGCAGAAGGGGGATTTGGGCTAGTATACAAGGTAAATTTAACATTAACCTTATTACGTACTGTAATTAATGGTTACAATTTAATAAAAATTTAAAATTTCAATAACTACAGTGATATTTATATTAAATCTGGAATAATTCAGGGAAAACTTGAAAATGGAATAGAAGTTGCTGTGAAGAGGCTTTTGAAATATTCATGGCAAACTAATCTTGAATTTAAAAGTGAGGTGGCTTTAAATGCTAGGCTTCAACACAAGAATTTGGTGAGGCTATTTGGTTACTGCCAAGAAGGAAGAGAAAGGATTCTTGTCTATGAATTTTGTCCAAATGGCAACCTTCTAAAATTTTTATTTGGTAAATATTCATTAAACTGGACTTTTAGTTTGGTTTAGGAATTTGAAACCTTATGTTATAAGTTAAATGTTGACATGCAGATCTGGTAAAACGTGGATATTTGGATTGGGGGAGACGCTACAAAATAATAGAAGGCATTGGCAAAGGGCTTGTTTATTTGCACGAAGACTCTCGTCTTCGCATTGTACATCACGATGTCAAAGCTAGTAAAATTTTGCTAGATGTAGATTTGAACCCAAAAATAACAGATTTTTACATTGCCCGGTTGTTTTCTTTGGATGAAACTCACTGTGAAGACAAAGCTTTGGCGGGAACTCTGTAAGTACTCCTTACTAAATATTTAATCTATAGGTGGAATATGATGCATTGCAAAGTAATTTGATTAGTCAACTTATTGGAGTAACATGTTGAAGATAACCATGCTATCGAGTTGCTATATTTGTTGAGGTTTAGTTAATTTTTAGCTTATCTATAATTATAAATATACACTCCTCATGTACACTCTTTATTAGCTCAATATTTCATTTTTAACATAACACGTTTATCTATTTCACATTGCAGTGGATATATGGCACCAGAATATCTATTGTGGCGTGAACTTTCTGTTAAATCAGACGTATATAGTTTTGGAGTGTTAATCTTGGAAATTATAAGTGGACAAAGATGTTTGGATTATAATAGACCCTTGGCAAATTCTGAGGATCATATGGGATACCTTGCAAGTTATGTAAGTATGAATATCAATATTGAGATGCATACAAGTAACAAATTGAATTGTCATCAATAGCATGTGACTATTGCTTTTTCAGGCTTGGACACATTGGAAAAATGGGTGTTCTTCAAATGTGATGGATCCCATGTTAAGACGAATATCAAGTCCAGTGGATGATATAATTAAATGCATCCAAATTGCTTTGCTGTGTGTTCAAGAAAAGGCTGAAGATAGACCAACAATGGGAGAAGTTGTTCAAATGCTAAGTAACTTATCAATGAGCCTTCCAATACCCTCAACTCCTGGATATTTTTGTCGTATCAAAAATTCAGATGATTTAGAGGGTTCAATCTATGAGATGTCAACTAGTGATGATGATGATGATTATGATTATCGCCCCAGATAGCTTCCCAACTGATACCCAACTCATCAATCCAACCACATATTGCGCTTGCTTTGATTTTGGCTTTGTATTGTTTTCCAATTCTGATATTTGTTTTTAGGTAAATCGAATCTTTTGTTCATTTTACTTTCGTACTTAAATACGATTCACTCACATCACATGTCCTTTTTCAATTGGACTAAATAGTCAATTCTTCATTGCCTTTACGCAAAGGGAAATCTTTCATTTTCTGAGATCCTCCTCGCATGTTTCACTAATTTAGAGTTATTATGTATAGTACATTTTCGCTCTCCACTTATAAGAACAGTTGTAATGCAACAATTAGAATGGAATGTGGTGGATTGACTCAATCAGAGTAATATCCCTCATATAAGTTTATGCTTTTAATGCTAATCATTTTGTACATTGTGCTTTTAGAGTTGTACTATATAATTTTTTAAACAAAAATACTCTTACTATACACATGCATCCATCATATATTTTCTTATATTTTTTTAAGGAAAAATGACACCTTTTTCGTGTGGTGTTTACTTATAGCACTTTTTTTTCACTGTGTTGTTTGATGTAATCATTTTACGTCTCTCAATTGTTTCTAAAGTGGTTATTTCTCCACCTCTCTATTAAATTTATTAATCGAACTGATTCATTTGGATCATTGGACTTATCAATTTTTGATTCATCACACTTATTTTTATCCGGTTAAAATTTATTGACAAAGATACTAAAATTGAACAATTTTATAAAACTAATCTATCAATTTCAAACTAAGATTGATAATATCTCCCTACTTTAGCCCCAAAGCGCGTAATATATAGTCAAAAGTAATATGAGAAGGAGTTAATGAGACATCTAATGACTAAAGAGGACGACTTGTCCAAAAAGAAGCATGTGTGAAATTTCCTGCGTAGGTTGGTATTCACATTAACTTCATTTTTGCAGGGCCGAGAAGCTTGGCGAAGGAGTTCTCATCCTGCCAACCCTCTGTTAACGCTGCTCAGCTACATCATTTTCTTTCCATTGTTATCCTAATCTTGAGTTAAGTCTTTTATGGATTCCATCAAACGGATTGGCTTCCAAATCTTAAGAAAAATGAAGAAAAGGAACCCCAAACGTTATGCAAACTGTAAGCTCCAATGCTTCTTTAAATTGCAGCCTAATTGTAAATACGCCTGACTTTATTGTTCATTAAGATTCATATCACTATACGAGTTGCTACTAAGTGTCTGTCAATCTCAAAATATTGTTCTTGGTTTCTATGTGAAGCTGATCTGGAAGAAATTAGTGTTGTGGAGTATGATTTCATTACCCTTCAGAATGCAACAAATAACTTCTCTGAGAAAAACAAGATAGGAGGAGGAGGTTTTGGTGTTGTATACAAGGTAAATTTAACATTTACTTTAGTATTGTTTTACACTGTTTCAGCCTATTTATATATGCTTGAAGAATTTAAAAAGTTCTGAAACTGATTTCTTTGCTTCCTTCTGTCTTCTTTAAACTTTCTGTTTCCCATGTTCTACATCATAGCTTATAGATATCATACAGTTTTGTTTTTCTATAACTCAGTAGTTGATTTCTTTTTAATATTAATTCATCGGGAATAATTTAGGGTACACTTGAAGATGGAGAGCAAGTTGCTGTAAAGAGGTTGTCTAAAAATTTAAGGAAGGGTAATCTAGAATTTAAAAAGGATGTGGCTTTAATGGCCAAGTTTCAACATAGGAATTTGGTGAGGCTTCTTGGTTTTAGCTTGGAAGGAAAAGAAGTGCTTTTGGTATATGAATTCGTTCCCAATGGCAGCCTTGACAATTTTTTATTTGGTAATGGATCTCGAACATGTATTTCACTTTGGTTTGAGATTTTGAGGCCATACCTTTCTAGTTAAATGTTCACATGCAGATCCTGTAAAACATCGATGGTTGGATTGGGGGAGACGATACAAAATAATAGAATGCATTGCCAGAGGGCTTATTTATCTGAATGAAGACTCTTGTCTTCACATTATTCATTACAATCTCAAAGCTAGTAATGTTCTGTTAGATGAAGGTTTAAACCCAAAACTTGCGGACTTTGACATGGCCAGGTTGTTTGTTTTAGACAAAACCCATGACTCTACCAGAAGAATCGTGGGAACCAGGTAAGCACTCCTTACTAAACCAATTCAATTTTTAGTTGGAAGATGATGCATTGCAAAATAATTTGATTGGTCAACTTACTAGCTAGAGTATCACATTTGTCTATTTCACATTGCAGCGGATATATGAGACCAGAGTATGTATTGCACGATGAGATTTCTATTAAACCGAATGTATATGGTTTTGGAGTGCTAGTTTTGGAAATTATAAGCGGAGAGAAGATTGCCAATTTTCAAAATGGAGAATCTATGAATGACCTTCTAGGCTATGTAAGTATGAGTATCAATATCAACATGCATATGTATAAAAACAATTAATTGACATAAATAGCTTGGGAGTGTTGTTGCAGGCTTGGACACATTTGAAAGGTGGGTCTGCTTCAAATGTGATAGATCCGACACTAAGAGCTGTATCAAGTCCACTGCATGAGATAACAAAATGCATCCATATTGCCTTGCTATGTGTTCAAGAAAATGTTGCAGATAGACCAAAAATGGTTGAAGTTCTTCAAATGCTAAGAAACTTATCTATGAGCCTTCCCGTACCCTTAGCCCCTGGACTTTTTATTCATGGCGGCATCAGTTCAGAGGCTTCAAGCAAGTTTACCAAAAATGTGAAGTCAATTAGTGATCAATATCACAGGTATGTAGCATCCAAAGTAATACCAAACTGATCAATGCAATAAGCACATTCTGTAACATTTAGTTTGCAATATATAACTCCAACAATCATCACCATTGTAGTTTCAGTTGCTGCTGGACTTATCGTTATTGCTATTTGCTTTTTAACCGTCTTTAGGAAAATGCAGAAGAAGGCCAAAAGCTATACAAAGAGTAAGTTCTAGGAAGACTTTAAATTGCAACCTACCGAGTAGCTTCTCAAAAGATAATTTTCGGTTTCTATGTGAAGCTGTGGAAGAATCTAGCTTGAGTGCCGATATTAGTCCTATGGAGTCCCATCTGAAATATGAATTGATTACTATACAAAATGCAACAGATAACTTCTCTGAATCAAACAAGTTAGCATATAGAGCATTTGGGGTTCTATACAAGGTAAATCTAACATCAACCTTACTATTGTATTGTAATTAACAGTTACGATTTAATAAAATTTTAAATTTTCAATAACTCAAGATTATTTATATTAATTTTGGAATAATTCAGGGAAAACTTGAAAATGGACTTGAAGTTGTTGTGAAGAGGTTATTCGAAAATTCAATGCAAAATGATCTAGAATTTAAAAATGAAGTGGCCTTAATAGCTAAGCTTCAACACAGAAATTTGGTGAGACTACTTGGTTACTGCCAAGAAGGAAGAGAAAGGATTCTTGTATATGAATTTTTTCCCAATGGCAGCCTTTATGGATTTTTATTTGGTAAATATTTATTAAACTAAACTTTCAGTTTAATTTGATTTAGGAATTTGAAACCATATGCTTTCAGTTAAATGTTGACATGCAGATCCCATAAAATGTGGATATTTAGATTGGGGAAGACGCTACAAAATAATAGAAGGCATTGGCAAAGGGCTTGTTTATCTGCACGAAGACTCTCGCCTTCGCATTATTCATCGCGATATTAAAGCTGGAAACATTCTGCTAGATGCAAATTTGAATCCAAAAATTACTGAGTTTGGCATTGCCTTGTTGTTTGCTTTGGAGGAAACTCACTGTGAAAGCGCAGCTGTGATAGGAACTTTGTAGTACTCCTCACTAAATATTTAATATATGGGTAGAATATGATGCATTGCAAAGTAATTTGATTAGTCAAGTTATTGGAGTAACATGTTGAAGATAACCATGTTATGAAGTTATATATTTGTTGAGATTTAGTTAATTTTTAGCTTATCTATACTATTATAAATATACACTCATGTACACTCTTTTTTAGCTCAATATTTCATTTTTAACATAACACGTTTATCTCTTTCATATTGTAGTGGATATATGGCACCGGAATATGTACACAGGGGTGAAGTTTCTATTAAAACAGACGTATATAGTTTTGGAGTGTTAGTATTGGAAATTATAAATGGACAGAAATGTATCCATGTACAAAATGAAGGAACTATAGATGAATGCCTTTCAAGTTATGTAAGTATAAATAATATCAGTATGGAGATGCATATGAGTAACAAACTGAATTTTCATAAATAGCATGTTATTACAGGCTTGGAAACAATGGATAAATGGGTCTTCTTCAAATCTAATAGATCCAATGTTGAGAGGTGTATCAAGTCCAGTGGATGATATAATTAAATGCATCCAAGTTGCTTTGCTGTGTATTCAAGTAAAGGCTGAAGATAGACCAACAATGAGTGAAGTTGTTCAAATGCTATGTAACTTATCTATGAGTCTTCCAGTACCATTAGCCCCGCCTGGACTTGATGATGATTGCAGCGTCTGTTCAGAGGGTTCAATCAATGAGATGTCAGTTAGTGAAGATGATGAGTATCTCAGATAGATAGATAGCTTCCTAAATCCTAATTAAGTGATACCAAACTCATCAATCCGCCAAAGACCTTATGATCTACTGGCACCAAGCTGCTCTTTTATGTGGGAGGTTGTGGATTCAAGCTTCAGTGGAGGCAGACTAGGCTCTTTATGCTTCAGTAGGTTGAGAAAGTAATTATAAACATATACTACATTGTAACATATTCAGTAGTATTTGAAAAAAAAAAGAAAAGCGCATACTAGTTCTTATTGCAATTGCTTTTGGTTTTGTATTGTTTTAAATTCTGATATTTGTGTGAAAGGTCAATTTACATAGTATTATCCAGCCCCATGATTATTATAATTATTATAGTCACCTGTTATTTATTACGGAGTACTTCATTTACTATTGTCTATCCATGGTAACTTCAATCACACACTCCCATAGCTCATTCAATTATCTCTATCTCTTCCCGCCAAATATTATATAAGAATATGGGTCAAATAGGCAATCGAAGTGCACACGGTAATGTAATTAGGCCACTGTACTGAAAAAACCAACAATTAGGTCTCTAAACTAACCAATTTCAAACAATTCTTTCAATTTCAAGGTTTCCAACGGGTCATCCTCTCAAATTAATTATTTTTTAAAAAATAATTATTAAAAAAAAAAAAAAAACAGACTCCGGCCGGAGACAACTCTTCGTCTCTGGCAGTGGAGACGAAAGGTTTCTTCGTCTCCATGGCTGGAGACGAAGAGTTTCGAAATTTAACCAGTCGTGGTCCTCTTGAAAGGACCATGATTGGTTAAAATTTAATAGTTGAAGGACCATGAGTGGTTAACTTTGGATCACAAATGGTTAAATTTGAAAGTCGAAGGACCACAGATGGTCAATTTGAAAATTTAGGACTAAACATGACAAAATCACTATACTCGGAAGACCTGGAATGATATTAACTCTAAAAACATATCATTAAAAAGCTCTAAATGAGATATTATAAATAACACCCATATTAATTTTTTTTTAATTAACCCTACAATTACATTAAGTAATAATTGCTTGTTCATTATATTAAGTTACTACTACATATTGATTAAGTCATTACTATATATTCATTAATGTAAATTTATTAAGTCACTCCAAGGTCTATAACATTTTTCATCCCCTTTTTTCAAAAAGGTTGAACCCCAACCCTTAATTTACTACATGTATTCTCCTAAATATTGCGTTTTTTATTTGGTAAGGATTATTCAAATTTGCGGACAAAAATACATTAATGAATATATAGTAATGACTTATAAATTATAAGGTTAAAAAACAACTGAATAAATTATAAAAATATTACATTTAACATTATCTTTTTATTAAACATTATTTTTTTTTTATGTATGATTAAGAAAAACAAACAATCAAAACATAATATCATAATAAATTAATAATTATAAATATGTTCCAACACTGTTGAGAGATTATACTAGTTTTTTAATCAATTAATTAGTGTAAAAAGTAAGAATATTGCGTATTACTCTTATAACTATTGATTTTTTAAAACTTATGTGGAATGGCTATGTGACAGGTGTTCAGAGTCCATTTTCCGCGTGGTTACACGTCGAACGGTCGAAGGCATTAGTTAGGCAAATACGAGGTATGACCGTTTTGTTTGAATATTCAGCGCAGACAACATAGACAGGCGTAATTAACTAATTAATGATATGATTGCAATGACTAAATGTTTTTTTGCGTGGAATAACTGGCCTAAAGATATAAGATTGGTTTTTTTTTTTAGGTGTACTTAGATTTTTAGTGTCTCTGACAGAATTGTATGCATCTCTTTTGAGTGGGATAGTTGGTCATAGTTTAGAGATTTAAGGCAGCTATATATCTAAAGTCAAAAATCGAATCCCTCATTGACTTTTGGTTAAGAATGGATGAGTCTCTTCCACTTAACACACTCTAGGTTAAAAGTATGAATGGTTAGCTTATGTACTTAGCATGCCTAAACAGATTGAAACTTATACTAACTATAAGATAAGAAGTTTAGTTTCAAGCCTCTGACCTCTTCTTGTAGATCCGTTTTGCAGCTTAAGTTAAGTCATGGATTTGCAGAAATGGGTTGCTTCCCTAATCTTCTTGAGTTTACATCTTTGTTCCATCATCACCATGGCGGCCGACATAGATCCCAATTATGAATACAATGAATGTGGGAAGACAGGGAACTACACACAAAACAGCACATACAGCGACAACCTCAACACACTTTTGTCCTCCCTCTCGAACAACGTGAACGAATATGGATTCTATAACGGTTCCGTTGGGCAAGGGTCAGAGAGGGCTAGCGCTATTGTGCTGTGCAGAGGGGACGTTGAACTGAATATATGTCGTGGGTGTGTTAAGGATAATGCTGAGAGGATCAAACAGTTGTGTCCTAATCAGAGGGAGGCATTCCGGTGGTACAACATCTGCAGTATATATTACTCCCATGAATCCATCCTAGGTTCTTTGAGAACCACTCCGGTAACCGTGCAATATAGCGCCAATACTGTCCAGAATCCTGCGCAGTTTACTCAAGATTTGACAACCCTGGTGGACCGGCTAAGGAGACAAGCGGTTGATGGGGGTCCGGTCCTCAAGTATGCGGCGGATAACAGGACTGGATCAGATCTCCGGACCACATATGCATATGTGCAGTGCACCCCTGACTTATCTGTTAAAAGCTGCAATGATTGCCTAATCAATGCTTTCACTCAATGGTCTGGGTCGGGGGGTAATGACCGGATAGGGGCAAGAGTACTATGTCCCAGCTGCTTTTTTCGCTATGAAATTAGCCCCTTCTTTGGCAACACCCTGATAAAGAAACCTCCTTCAACACCATCTCCACCTCCACCAGATTCAGGTGATCTGACATGAAAATTCTGGAAATCTGGACAACCTAACCAAGTTGGTCAGCCTATTTAATTAGTAGCAGAAGGTTACAAGTTCGTCATCTAACGAGAACAGTAATTATTGTCTTTCTTGGTTTGAATCGGTCAACTATGGACAATCTAGACTCTTTGTGATCCTTTGCGGGCTAAGGTCACAAGGCGGGTGTACACCCCCAGTAGTGGCTATGGTTTCCTTGTCACCTAAACAAAATTATGAGGATAATGTTTTGTCTCTCCCTCTACCTCAATCGGAAAACTTCTAACTAACAGATCATCAAATGTTTCATTTTTGTAGGGAATGATGATGGTAATAATGCCCCAAAAGTCATCGTTATTGTTGTTTCAATTGTGGTGGGGCTACTTATTGTGCTTGCTATTTGCATTTTTATCATCATAAGACGAAGGAAGAAAAGAAAGGACAAAAACTATGGGGAGAGTAAGTTCCAAGAACACTAGTTTAGTTGCAACATAATTGTTTATATATATGCCGAGGCTCATATCTCTAAAGATTGTTCTTGGTTTTTATGTGAAGCAGTAGAAGGAAGTAGCAGTGTAGATGAAATTAGTGTAGTAGAGTCTTTGCAATATGACTTTACTACCATAAAAAATGCAACAGATAACTTTTCGGAAGAAAATAAAATAGGAGAAGGAGGTTTCGGTGCTGTATACAAGGTAAATCTAACATTAACTCTTTCATTAACATTTACGGTACGATTTAATATAATTTTGCTTTACTATAATTTAATATATTTTTTAAAATTTAATTTTGGAATCATTCAGGGTAAACTTCAAAATGGACTTGAAGTTGCTGTGAAGAGATTGTCCGAGAATTCAAGGCAAGGAAATCTTGAATTTAAAAACGAGGTAGCTTTAGTGGCCAAGCTGCAACATAGGAATTTGGTGAGACTACTTGGTTTTTGCTTAGAAGGAAAAGAAATGCTTTTGGTATATGAGTTTGTTCCCAATGGCGGTCTTGACAACATTTTATTTGGTAAATATTTCTTAAATTTTTAATTTGGTATATATAGGAATTTGAAACTGTATTTTTTAGTCAAGTGTTGACATGCAGATCCTACAAAACGTGGATATTTGGATTGGGGAAGACGCTACAAAATCATAGAAAGCATTGCTAGAGGACTCGTTTATTTGCATGAAGACTCTCGTCTTCGCATTATTCATCGTGACCTCAAAGCTAGTAACATTCTACTAGATGCAGATTTGAATCCAAAAATTGCAGACTTTGGCATGGCTAGATTGTTTACTTTAGATGAAACTCAAGGCTCTACAAGCAGAATTGTCGGAACCTAGTAAGTTGTCTATACTAAACTAACTTTTAAGATGCATTGCAAAGTAATTAATTTGATTCCTCAACTTCATATGACAGTGGTTATATGGCACCAGAGTATGCATGGCATGGTCTTTTTTCTGTTAGATCAGATGTATATAGTTTTGGAGTGTTAGTCCTAGAAATTATAAACGGACAGAAGAATACCAGCTTTCATAACGAAGAATCTATAAGAGACCTTCTAAGTTATGTAAGTATGAATATGAGTACCACAGTATCTACAATATGCATGTGGGTAACAAATAAATATATATATATATATATATATATATATATATATATATAATTGACATAAATATATAACTTGTGAGTATTCTTCAGGCTTGGACACATTGGAAACGTGGATCAGCTTCAAGTGTGATAGATCAGATGTTGACAGGTACATCAAGCCCAGTGCATGAAATAACAAAATGCATCCACATTGCTTTGCTGTGTGTTCAAGAAAATGTTACAGATAGACCAACAATGGCTGAAGTTCTTCAAATGTTAAGTAACCTGTCGATGAGCCTTCCAGTGCCCTCGGCCCCTGGGTTTTTTATTCATGGTGGCACCGCAACTTCAGAGTCTACAACCCAGAATTCCAAAAATGAGATGTCAATTAGTGTGCAGTATCCCAGATAGATAGCATCCAATTCAGATCGAGCTAGCAACAATGGCTGCAATTCTCATGCTTGTAATCCATCTTCATCTCAGTCTTCTGGTGCCATCTAAAGGCCTACTAGCGGCCAGAAATTTATATTAGAGGCCTGTAAATATAGGAAGTAAGAAAGAGAAAGTATTTAATTTGATCAAATAAATAGAATCTGTAATTTTTATTGCTTGTAGTATATCATTCACTCACACGGTGTGTCTTCTTTTCTATGGAATGAAACATGACATTTTCCTATATTATAGGCACAAGGATGATCTTTTAATGCAATGATACTTATAATTCTTTGTAAGAGGTGTTACAGGTAATATGTGTAATATTTTCAATAGATTCATTGAAAAATATTATATTTTAATTAAAAAATTTAATAAATTTATTGTCTGGTATATGTCTAATATAAAAAAGAATGGAGTGACAATATCTTGCCAAGAAATTTCATTATGTTTTTTTTTCTTTATATTCCATAATATAATCCATAATCAGTCATGGTACACTATTTATGATAAGGAAGTTTACCTAATTAGTGTCTCATAGTACATCTGTCTTAACACTATTTATTTATTTTGAAATAAAAAAATTTATTTTTGATTTTTATAAGTTTGAACTTAACCGTAAAGAACTCTTATGTTTATGCTTTGAAAATGAGTTAAAAAGGTAAAGTAAAGGATGTGTCTCAACTAAGTTACTTGTTTCCAAATTCTTCTACTAAAAGAATATAAATTACTCATAGTTGACTGATTCAAAATTAAAATGTCAGTAGAATGTTAGGTAAAACTTGTAATTTTATTATTATTAAATTAACATTACTGATAAACTTGATTGGAGTTATATTACATATTACTTTATATATTTAAAAGAATTAGTGGTTTTGACACATTTATAAAAAGAAAATCGTAATAAAAGAGGGTCTAGTAATTTTCAATATCCCAATCCAAAAACAGGGACCATCTTTGACATCAAAGAGCTACTGACAACTGATCTTTCTTCATAGCATCACTGCGCGCGTCAACATGAAATACCCACAGAATTTCCTGTTTAGGTTAGTATTTGACATTTACACCATTTTCCCACAATCTCGTGGTCGTGGAGGAAGGGCATATATGGTGGATGAGTTGGCGACAAAGTTGGGCGAGGCGGCTTTGAGCTTGACTCTGTAAATGGTGCGCCTGTCCGTGCCGCCAGAACACTGTAGCTGCAGCATGTTCTTTCCCTGGTATTAATTATTTTCCCTTTCCACTTTTAGGTTTACAGCTTTTCACAATATTATAATTATTACTTCCTACATATATTATATGTGTTTCTGTGAATTTTCAATTTTCCCCTACTTTTGACGAGTTCATCAGTACCCAAGATGTTAGTAATAAAAGAAATTTGTATTCAGGATCCACTAGTTCTATTTACTTTGCAAATCTCATAAACTTGGGAAATATGTTGAATTGGGCTCTATGTTATGTCTAATTTGTAAAGTTTGCATCTTTTACCTACCATTGTGATACTTTCAGGCTCTTTTTCACTAGATTTATTTTTAATATTTTTTTTTCTTTATATCTGTTCAGCTGCAATCTTGGGCTTGAGAGTAAGTCATGGATTGCTTTCCATATCTTCTTGAGTTTAAATCTTTTTTCCATCACCATAGCGGATATAGGCCCTAATCATGAATACCATGAATGTGGAACCAGAGGGAGGTACACTCAAGACAGCACATACAGCAAGAACCTTGACACTCTCTTGTCATCTCTCTCAAAAAATGTAAATGAATATGGATTCTATAAGGGTTCTGTTGGGCAAGACTCAGAGAGGGCTAGCGCTATTGTGCTATGCCGAGGGGATGTTGAACTGAATGTATGTCGTAGCTGCATTAGTGATAATGCTCGGAGGATTAAACAGCGCTGTCCTAATCAGAAGGAGGCATTCCGATGGTACAATATCTGCAGTATATATTACTCCGATGAATCCATCACAGGTTCCTTGAGAACCACTCCTAAAGTTGTACAATATAGTAACATCAGTTATCCGTATCCTGCTCGGTTTAGTGAAGATTTGAAAAACATGGTAGACCGCCTAAGAAGACAAGCGGCTGATGGTGGTCCATTCCTCAAGTATGCGGCTAATAGTACAGCTGGACCAGCCCTCCAGACCATATATGCATATGTGCAGTGCACCCCTGACTTATCCCATCAAGATTGCAGTGACTGTCTAAGCACTACTTTCACTCTATGGTGTAAATCAAATGGTAATGGCAAGATAGGGGCGAGAGTACTATGTCCTAGCTGCTTTTTTCACTATGAGAATAGCAGTTTCTTCGGTGCCACACTGATAAAAGCGCCCCCCTCTCCATCACCTCCATCGCATCGAATAGCTATTGTTATTGTAGTTTCAACTGCCATGGGTCTTATCATGATTACTATTTGCATTTTTCTAATGCAGAAAAGGAAAGCCAAAAGCTATGCAGCAAGTAAGTTCCAATGACTTTAAACAGCAACCTAAATGTCAATATGCTTGACGTTAATGTTTATTAAGACTCATATCACTATATGAGCAGTGATTCATTGTATACCAACTAATGAGTTGAATCTCTAAATATCGTTCTTGGTTTCTATTTGAAGCTGTGGAAGAATCTAGCTCGGGTGATGAAATTAGTCCTGTAGACTCTCACCTGAAATATGAATTGATTACCATACAAACTGCAACTGATAACTTCTCTAAAGCAAACAAGTTAGGAGAAGGACGTTTTGGTGCTCTATACAAGGTAAACCTAGCATTAACCTTCTACGTATGTTTAATTAAATTTTATTTTTCTATATAACTCAATATTGTTTATATTAATTCGGGAATAATTCAGGGTAAACTTGAAAACAGACAGTTAGTTGCTGCGAAGAGGTTGTCCGAAAATTCAAGGCAAGTTAATCTAGAATTTAAAAACGAGATAGCTTTAATTGCTAGGCTTCAACACAGGAATTTGGTGAGGCTGCATGGTTACTGCCAGGAAGGAAGGACAAAGATTCTTGTCTATGAATTTGTTCCCAATGGTGGCCTTGACAGCATTTTATTTGGTAATAGTTCTCAAGCATGTCTTCCACTTTGGTTTGGGAATTTGAAACAATATCTTTTAAGTTCAATGTTGACATGCAGATCCTGTAAAACGTGGATGTTTGGATTGGGGGAGACGCTACAAAATCATAGAGAGCATTGCCAGGGGGCTTGTTTATTTGCATGAAGGCTCTCATCATCGCATTATCCATTGCAATCTCAAAGCTAGTAACATTCTGCTAGATGTGGATTTGAACCCAAAAATTGCAGACTTTGGCATGGCCAGGTTGTTTGCTTTAGACGAAACCCATGGCTCTACAAACTTAATCATGGGAACCTAGTAAGTACTCCTTACTAAGCTAATTTAATTTATTGGTGGAAGATGATATGTAGCACAAAGTAATTTGATTAGTCTATCCACCTCACATTGCAGTGGATATATATCACCAGAGTATGCATTGTGTGGCCAATTTTCTGTTAAATCAGATGTATACAGTTTTGGAGTGTTAGTCTTGGAAATTATAAGCGGTCAGAAAAGTAGCAATTTTCAAAATGGAGAATCTATAGAAGACCTTCTAAGCTATGTAAGTATGAATGTCAGTATCAACATGCACAAGTAACAAATTTAATTTACAATAAAAGCTTGTTGGTGTTCTTACAGGCTTGGACACATTTTAAAAGTGGTGCTGCTTCAAATGTGATAGATCCGATGTTGAGAGCTGTATCAAGTCCAGTTCATGAGATAACAAAATGCATCCACATTGCCTTGCTGTGTGTTCAAGAAAGTGTTGTAGATAGACCAACAATGGTTGAAGTTCTTCAAATGCTAAGCAACTTATCTATGAGCCTTCCAGTACCTTTAGCCCCTGGGTTTTTTATTCATGGCAACGTAAATATAGAGGCTTCAAGCCAGTTTACAAAAAGTGAGATGTCAAATAGTAGTGATCAATATCCCAGGTAACATCATGTGCTTGCTCATTGCTTCTGTTCTCTGTTTTATATTGTTTTTAAATTCTAATACTTGTCTGAGAGTTCATGCTTCAGCATACTATTGTCCATCTTGCTACTAATATGTTGTGGACTGTGGAGTACTTTTTTCAACTGGATAATGGTCAAATAAATCTTTGAACTTGGTCGTATAGTGCAATTGAGTGCCCTAACTCAAAAAACTTCAAAGAAACACTTGAAACTGGCAATTATGTCATTTAGCTAGTTGCTAATTGGTAGCTACTGATATAGTGATACGACATCTATATGGCCTTTCTTTTTCCCCAATTTGCTGTTTTGCCAGTGTAAGACAAATCAACAGAAAATTTGGAAAACCTTTTAAAAATGTACCCATAGAAGTCAAATCAGCTGTTGCTAACTGGCTAAATGACCTAATTGTAAGTTATTATGGTTTCAGTGCTTTTTGGAATCTTTTTTTTTTTTTTTTTTTTGGGTGTTGGAGGATTTCTTTGACCTTGTCATTTTTTTAAAGAGTTCATTGGCTGCTCCTTCTAATTTGCATATTATTTTTAGTGTCTAGTAGTTTGTAATAAAACCTCAACATTATAGCTTCAATTGCTGTGGGACTTATCAGTTATCATGAATTCATGATTGCTATTTTTATTTTTTTCATTTTAAGGAACATGCAGAAGAGGAAAGCCAATAGTTATGCGAAGATTAGTGCTCTGGAGTCTCTTAAATATGATTTCAAAACCATACAAAATGGAACAGATAACTTCTCAGAGGCAAACATGGTAGGAATAGGAATTTTGGGTCCTGTATACAAGGTAAATCTAACATTAACCTTAATATGGTCGGTAGCATTTGCAATTTGAATCAAATTTATTTTTCTGACTCAATAACTGTTTTATTTTTTTATATTTATTTGAGAATAATTCAGTGTAAACTTGAAAACGGACTGGAAGTTGTTGCAAAGAGGTGTTCTGAAAATTCATGGCTAGGTAGGCAAGAATTTAAAAATGAGGTGTCTTTATTAGCCAAGCTTCAACACAGAAACTTTGTGAGGCTGCTTGGTTTCTGCCAGGAAGGAAAAGAAATGCTTCTTGTCTATGAATTTGTTCGCAATGGTGCCCTTGACCAATTTTTATTTGGTAAATATTTATTAATCTGTTCTTTGAATTTGGTTAAGGAATTTGAAACCGTATCTTTTCAAGTTAAAATGTTGACTTGCAGATCCTATAAAACGTGGATATTTGGATTGGGGGAGACGCTACCAAATTATAGAAAGCATTGCTAGAGGGCTCGTTTATTTGCATGAAGACTCTAATCTTCGCATTATCCATCGCAATCTCACAGTTAGTAATGTTCTGCTCGATGCAGATTTGAATCCAAAAATTTCAAACTTTAGCCTGGCCTGGTTGTTCACTTCTGACAAAACCCACGGCTCTACAGACCAAATTGTGGGAACCTAGTAAGTACTCCTTAATTACTAAAGTAATTTAATTAGTCAAGTTATTGGAGTAACATGTTGAAGATAACCATGTTATCAAGTTACTATATTTGTTGAGATTTAGTTGATTTCTAGCATATCTATAAGATCATAAATATAGTCTCCTCTTCTATGCTTTCTATTATATTAGTATTAGAATTTGCCTAGTTTTACATTAATTCCCCTTTTCCTGCTATTTATGGCGTAACACGTGTGACCACATCACGTTGCAGCGAATATATGGCACCGGAATATTCATGGCATGGCCAATTTTCTGTTAGATCAGACGTATATAGTTTTGGGGTGTTATCTCTGGAAATTATAAGTGGACAGAAACATAGCTATTTTCAAAATGAAGAATCTATAAGATACCTTCCGAGCTATGTAAGTATGAATATCAGTATCCCATGCATTTGAGTAACAAATTTAATAATCATAAACTCATAATAGCATGTGAGTGTTGTTGCAGGCTTGGACACATTGGAAAAACGGGTCTTCTTTAAATGTGATAGATCCAATGTTGAGAGGTGTATCAAGTCCTGTGCCTGATATAATTAAATGCATCCAAGTCGCGTTGTTGTGTGTTCAAGAAAAGGTTGAAAATAGACCAACAATGGGTGAAGTTGTTCAAATGCTAAGTAACTTGTCTACGAGCCTCCCCGTACCCTCAGCCCCTCCGTTTGTCACTCCTAGCCGCGTAAGTTCAGATGGTTCAATCAATGAGATGTCAATTAGTGATGATGAGTATCCCAGATAGCTTTCAAAGTGATACAAACTGATCAATGGATGCACATTCTTGGTAACTCAGATGTATTTAGCTTCACAGCATTCGTCATGGAAACCATAAATATGCTGAAGAGTACATATATACAAGAGCTTCTAAGTATGAATATGTGTAATACATTAGTGGCTTCAAATGTAATAGATTTCATGTTTGAGGAGTAGATAAGTGCAGTGCAGGAAATAATGAAATGCATACACATGGTTTTGTAGTGTGATCAAGATTAGTTGACATTTGTATTTTTACCTAAAAAATAATTAGATTTTAAATACTTTTCATATGTTATAAATTTTAAAATTGTTAAATTTGAATAAGTGTTTTAGTTTTTCAACAAATAATAAAGAATTTTTAAAAACACTAGCCAACTATTATGTAGTATAATTACAGTTTTGTTATCATTTCAAATAATTAACCGTAAGATCGAAGATAACGTGAGTTTTGATTTTATTTTTGAACTGAACAAGTTAGAAAAAAGTATATAGATTTTATTTTTGAACTGACCAAGTTAGAAAAAGTATATAACAGGAAAAAAAGAAAATTCTAATTAAAAATTGTCAATATCCCATTGATTACCGTTTTTTTTTTTTTTTTCCAACAACAGGGTACAGCCACCATGTTTGAAAACAGGAGTAAAGCGATAGTAAATACTGTAGATTTCTTCTCCAAGGAAGACAAGTTCAACAAGAAATATCGTTTGAATTTCGTCTGATTTCTCCTCGAGCTCCTGGAGAAAGGAAGCTTCTGGGACATGGTCGGTTAGCGGCGAAATTCGGAGAGCCGCCTTTGAGTCCTCCCAATTCCCAAACGTCTGTAAATGCTGCTCTGCTTGTGCGCCTGCGAGAACACTATAGCTACAGTATTTTCTTTCCCCGGTATTAATTTGTTTTGCTTTTTCATTTTGTATACTGCAAGTTAATTGCTTTTTCACTTAATAACAAGACTGCACAATTATTTTCCCTTTTCCAGTTGCTTAACAATTCATCTTACGCTTAAGATTTAGTTAATGAGTTTCGAGTTGGAGGTTTTGACATTATTATTATTGGTTTACTATAATTATTACTTCCTACATATATTATATATTATATACACTTCTGTGAAATTTTACCTATTTTTAAGGATTTCGTCTGTAATCAAGATGTTAGTAAGAATTTCAGCTAACTTTATTCTGTTTGCCCATTCTAAACTTTAATCAATTTAATATGTATTTGTGAATTGTGATCCAAACCAAGCACCTAATCAGATCACAAAAAAAGTTACACTGATAAGAGTTTTACTGACCAAAAATAGTTGAAATTATTACAATGTTAATTGAGAACTATATTGTTAAATTGTCAGTCTGAAAAATAACATAAGAGTTCAATTAATATTTTTGTCTTACAAATTTCTCATTGTGGTCCAAATGGTCATTAGACATGTCAAGGCTGGATATGTCTTGTGTATTGGTCTAATGACTTTGTCCAGTTGGCATGCTTGAAACTTATACTAGGTACTATGTAGTTTGGTTTTAAGCCTGTGACCATTTATTGCATTCTTATTTTCATTAGTTTTTTTCCTTATCTGTTCTGCAGCAATCCTGGGCATGAGTAAGCTGTAAGCCATGGATTTCCAGAAATGGATTGTTTTCCTAATATTGAATTTACATCTTTGTGTCATTGCCAAACGGATAAATGAACCTCCTTCGACTCCAATGCCTCCGCCACCAGGTGAACTTTTCTACAAGGTCTTAAATGCTTACATGATGTTGAGATTAAAATTTAGGGAATAAGTTTTGTGTCTCCTTCTAGCTCTTATTCACTTCATTTGGAAAACTTCTAACATATCAATACTATATTTCTTTTCTGCAAATTATCCAAAGATTTTATTTTTGTAGGGAAGGATGGTAATAAAACCTCAACAGTCAGCATTATTGTAGTTTCAATTGCCATGGGTCTTATCTTGATTGCAATTTGCATTTTTATCATCTTTAGAAAAATGCAGAAAAGGAAGGCCAAAAGTTATGCAGATTGTAAGTTCCAATAGGACTTTCATATGCGATCTAATTGTTAATACGCTTGACTTTAATGTTTATTAAGGCTCATATCACTATATGAGCTGTGATTAATTGTGTGCCAACTAATGAGTTGAATCTCAACAGATCTTTCTTGGATTGTTAGTGGACAGATGGACACAACTAGCTCTATTGATGACATTAGTTCTGTGAAATTTGATTTCACTACCATACAAAAAGCAACAAGTAACTTCTTGGAAGCAAACATGGTAGGAAGAGGACATTTTGGTGCTGTATACAAGGTAAATATTCTAGCATTAACTGTAATTTGGTTACTAACATGATGCCAATTGCCAAATGAGATCCTAGAGACGCATGGGTTTCCTCACATTTCCTCTGTTTTTGCAAATGCATGCATGGAATAACTTTTGTCTGCAACTCTCAGAATGGATTCTTCAATTTCCCAAGAAGCCGTCAATTTATGGCATTTAATAAACTACATCCGTTTCTACCCTGTTTGAGCCTATTTATAGTGCAATTTTGTATGTTGTAGCATACTTGAAGAATTAAAAAAACTATTGGAACAGATTTCTTTGCTTCTGTTTGTCTTCTTTAAATTTTCAGTTTCCCTTGTTCTTTTCCATAACTCAATAATTTGTTTCTTTTTAATATTAATTCGGGATAATTTAGGGAAGACTTGAAAACGGAGTGGAAGTTGCTGTTAAGAGGTTGTCCGAAAATTTAAAGGAAGGTAATCTAGAATTTAAGACTACGGTGGCTTTAATGGCCAAGCTTCAACACAGGAATTTGGTGAGGCTGCTTGATTTCAGCTTGGAAGGAAAAGAAATGCTTTTGGTATACGAATTTGTTCACAATGGCGGCCTTGACAACATTTTGTTCGGTAATAGATCAAATCTCAAAATGTCTTTCACTTTGGTTTGGAATTTGAGACCATATCTTTTTGTTAAATGTTGATATGCAGATCCTGTAAAACGTGGATGTTTGGATTGGGGAAGACGCTTCAAAATCATAGAAAGCATTGCAAGAGGGCTTATTTATCTGCACGAAGGCTCTCATCTTCGTATTATTCATTGCAATCTCAAAGCTAGTAACATTCTGCTAGATGCAGATATGAACCCGAAAATTGCAGATTTTTACATGGCCAGATTGTTTGCTTTAGACAAAACCCACGGCTCTGCAAACAGAATCATGGGAACCGAGTAAGTACTTCTTGCTAAACTAATTTAATTTACAGTTGCTAGATGATGTATTGCCGAGTAATTTGATTAGTCAACTTACCGAGTTACTGGAGTAATATATTTATCCACTTCACATTGCAGTGGATATATGGCACCAGAGTATGCATTGTATGGCAAATTTTCTGTTAAGTCAGACGTATATAGTTTTGGGGTGTTAGTCCTGGAAATTATAAGCGGGCAAAAACATACCAGTTTTCAAAATGGAGAATCTATAAAAGACCTTATAAGCTATGTAAGTATGAATTATGCACATGAGTAACAAATTTAATTTACATAAAAAGCTTGTGGGTGTTCTTACAGGCTTGGGCACATTGGAAAAGTGGGGCTGCTTCAAATGTGATAGATCTGATGCTGCTGAGAGGTGCATCAAGTCCTGTGCATGAGATAACAAAATGCATCCATGTTGCCTTGCTGTGTGTTCAAGAAAGTATTGTAGATAGACCAACAATGGTTGAAGTTCTTCAAATGCTAAGTAACTTATCTATGAGCCTTCCAGTACCCTTAGCCCCAGGATTTTTTATTCATGGCAACGTCAACTCTGAGGCTTCAAGCCGGTTTACAAAAAATGAGATGTCAAATAGTGATAAATATCCCGGGTAACATCCTGTGCTTGCTCATTGCTATCGTTCTCATTTTTATATTGTTTTTGAATTCTAATATTTGTCTGAGAGTTCATTCTTCAATTGCCATAGTACGTATTATGATTGCTATTTTCATTTTTATCATCTTAAGGAAAATGCAGAAGCAGAAGGTTGCTGTGGAGTCTCTTAATTATGATTTCAATACCATACAAAATGCAACAGATAACTTCTCAGAGGCAAACAAAGTAGGATCAGGAATTTTGGGTCCTGTATACAAGGTAAGCCTAGCATTAACCTTAATACGGTCGCTGACATTTACAATGAATCAAATTAATTTTTCTATGACTCAGTAAGTATTTTATCTTTTATATTTATTTGGGAATAATTCAGGGTAAACTTGAAAACGGACAAGAAGTTGCTGTAAAGAGGTTTTTTGAAACTTCATGGCTAGGTATGCAAGAATTTAAAAATGAGGTGGCTTTATTAGCCAAGCTTCAACACAGGAATTTTGTGAGACTGCTCGGTTTCTGCCATGAAGGAATAGAAATTTTTCTTGTCTATGAATTTGTTCCCAACGGCAGCCTTAACCAATTTTTATTCGGTAAATATTTATTAAACTAGTCTTTCAGTTTGGTTTAGGAATTTGAAACCATATCTTTTCAAGTTAAATGTTGACCTGCAGATCCAATAAAACGTGGATATTTGGATTGGGGGAGGCGCTACAAAATTATAGAAAGCACTGCCAAAGGACTTGTTTATTTGCATGAAGAATCTTGTATTCGCATGATTCATCGCGATCTCAAAGCTAGTAACATTCTACTCGACGCAGATTTGATCCCAAAAATTACAAACTTAAGCTTGGCTTGGTTGCTTGCTTTAGACGAAACCCATGGCTCTACAGATCAAGTTGTGGGAACCATGTAAGTACTCCTTACTAAACATTTCATTTAAAGGTGAAGTATGACGCTTCGCAAAGTAATTTGATTAGTCAACTTATTGGAGTAACATGTCGAAGATAACCATGCTATGAAGTTATATTTGTTTACGTTAGTTTATTTCTAGCTTATCTATAAGATTATAAATGTAGGCTCATCTTGTACGATTTTATTAGATCAAAATTAAAATGTCCCTAGTTTTACTTTGTGTTTTAAATTTACTCTTGCCTTTCCTACTGGTGGCGATCATATTTAATCTTTAAAATAACAGGTTTACCTACTTCACATTGCAGGGGATATATGGCACCAGAGTATATGTTGCAGGGTAAATTTTCTATTAGATCAGACGTATATAGTTTTGGAGTGTTAGTCCTCGAAATTATAAGTGGACAGAAACATAGCTATTATCAAAATGGAGAATTAATTAAATACCTTCCGAGCTATGTAAGTATGAATATCAGTATCCGCATGCACTTGAGTAACAAATTTAATTGTCATAAATAGCATGCGAGTGTTATTGCAGGCTTGGACACATTGGAAAAACGGGTCTTCTTTAAATGTGATAGATCCAATGTTGAGAGGTATATCAAGTCCTGTGCCTGATATAATTAAATGCTTCCAAGTCGCGTTGCTGTGTGTTCAAGAAAAGGTTGAAGATAGACCAACAATGGGTGAAGTTGTTCAAATGCTAAGTAACTTATCTACGAACTTTCCAGTACCCTCAGCCCCTCCATATGTCATTCCTAGCCGCGTAAATTCAGATGCTTCAATCAATGAGATGTCAATTAGTGATGATAATGAGTATCCCAGATATGTTTTGGAAGAATGAAATTAATTTTGTTTTGTCATTATTGTATAGATGAAAATCTAAGATGTAATAGGAGACAGTAATTAGGTAAACTTCGATGTCATATATAGTGAGCTGAGTCATATATGCACTACATATGGATAGAGACAAGGGAAAAGTGTCAAATTGGCCCCATAAGTCAAGTAGATAGTACAATTGGGTCCCCTAAGTGAAAAAAGCACCATTCAAGTCCCCTAAATCGGTAAAATTGTTCAATTAAGTCCAATATGACTTGTTTATCAGGTTAAATCGATATGGTGTTGACACGTGTCCTTATTTTATTTTTTAAAATAAATGTTTTTTATTTATTAAAAATTAAAAATAATATTTATTATAAATTAATTAATAATAATAATAATAATAATAATAATAATAATAATAATAATAATAATAATAATTAAATTAAAAAAAATTTTTTAAAAAAAAACAGCCACCGGCTGTCTGCACTGGACAGCTAGTGGCTATCTTCCTTCTTCACGGTTGTCTAAGGAAGGTGGACATGGACGTCTGGCCGTCTTCCTTACTTCCTTACCCGCCACGGCTGTCCGCGAAGAAAGAAGACAACCACGGGCTGTCCGGCGCGGACAGCCGGTGGATTTTTTTTTTTTTAAATTTTTAAAGTATTATTATTTTAATTAATTAATTAATAAAAATAATATTTTTAATAAATAAAAAGTATTTATTTTAAAAAATAAAATAAGAAAGACACGTGTCAACACCATATCGATTTAACCTGTTAAACAAGTTATATTGAACTTAATTGAACAATTTTACAGGTTTAGGAAACTTGAATGGAGTTTTTTTTCACTTAGAGGATCCAATTACACTATCCACTTGACTTAGGGGGCCAATTTGACACTTTTCCCTAGAGACAAATATATAGGGTAAAATTAAATGGAGTGTAACTGCTTTTTCTAATGTTCATTAGAGTATAGTATTATTTTAAAGGAGATGCAGGCAAAGATGGGTGATGTCCACTGTCCAATCTAATATTACGAAGATGTTAACTTTTTACCTAATAAACATTATTTTTTCCCTATATGATGAAGGAGGTGAAAGAAAGCACTTGACATGAACCTAAGCCATATTGAGTCAGTCAATAATGTTTGAAAAGAGTAAAAGCCTGTTGTGAAGATAGGAGCAATTGAAGCATGTGCTCCATCTCAACTAAAAACTTAAGCTGATAGTTGAATTGCACATTAATGATTATATGCTCAATAGGAGCCATCTGTACGTGATTGAGCTGACAGTCAATTTTGGTGTCATTATTTTAAATTAATTACTTTTTTATATTATAATATTTATTTAGTTAGTTTAGGATTTAAACTGCTTATTTTGCTATTTAAATTCCTACTTGCTAATTATCCTAACAGATAATGTTAGTTAGGATTATATTAGATTTACGACTTTTTGTTTATCGAGATTAGTTTGTTAGGAATTCTGATTACAATTCTACGATTATAAATATTGTTATCTTATACGAATAATAAAATTGATAGTTGAAGAATGTTTTGAAGTGAAAAACTGACAGATGATTCAAGCACAAAAACAACGAACAACATGAGAATTGTAAATTCGCGTTGTGATACTTTTTTTTAAAACCTTATTTGCTAGCTCCTAAAGATATAAAAACTTTATTTGCTACTCCTCAAAGGTGCGCTGCAAGGTGCTAGGAGCGTTGTACTCTAGGCCCACTTCTCAAAATAAAACGAATTTTGATATATTTTTTGAGCACTCAACAACAATTAGATCTAGCTAATAAATAAGAACAAAGAAAGACCACAAATTCCTTGGAAATATTTCTCCTCCTTTTGAAATAATTCATTACCTTAATTATTCAATCAACGTAAATAAGTAAGAAAGGAGTAAGACATGAGAAAAATTGCTCTTGAGGGTTTTCATCTTAATCTTTCTTTAAGAGATAAAGAAAAGGAATAAAACAAAGAACATGTGAAGAGGCATAGGAGACAAAGCATCTTCCATCAACTTTCCTCCGAAATCCAAAAAGACAAAAAAAACACACAATAATAATAATAATAATAATAATAATAATAATAATAATAATAATAATAATAATAATAATAATAATGCATTATTAAAATGATCTAATGGGTATATTTTAGAAATCAATTTCTCATTCACTCCTTATCTATTTTATGCGTACAAAATATTGATTTTGTTTGTTTCTTTTAGGAGAATCAAAATAAAAACAAATTAACATTCTTGTCAAATAAAATTATGAATTTTCTAGAATTCGAGAGAGTTGAGAGTTCAGCTACGATCAAATCATGGTGGTCCATACTTACCAAGTGTGTTGACGTGGGGTTGTCTTTTATAACCCAGTGTTGCCGAGAACCTATAAAAAAAACTCTCAAATAAAAAACAAAACAATAAAACCTTTTTTCTAGCCCAAATTTAAACTTTCAAATCAAATTTGTCTATAAAAAACTCCCAAAAAAAAAAAAAAAACCTTTTTTCTGGCCCAAATTAAACTTTCAAATCAAATTTGTCAAACCTTCTTTTTAATCATAGTGTGAAGACAAGATCAAACCAATTAAGGTTTAAGGCAAATTATGCTGTGGAAGCGTGTCCACCTTGCAAGGTGGACATGGTTCCAAAACTATTTATAATTATAAATATATAGTTCAAAAATTATGAATATATAGTTCTATAATTATGAACATAGAGTTGTGAACATAATTATGAATATATAGTTATGTAATTATGAATATAGAGATTCAATAATTGTGAATATGAAGTTCAAAAATTATGAATATATAGCTCTATAATTATGAACATATAGAGCTCTATAATTGTGAATATAAAGTTCAATAATTATGAATATGAAGTTCAAAAATTATGAATATATAGCTTTATAATTATGAACATAGAAACGTGTCCACCTTGCAAGGTGTGCATGGTTCCACAACATATCGGTTGAAGGTTTAATTTGAATTTTTTTTTAAGTCCTTGGCCACATTGGGTTATAAGATGATATATACGTAGGTACTCTCTCGAGCTCTAAAAAACTCATAGTTTAATTTTCTATCACAAAGGGTTCTTCAAACCTCTATTTAAAAATAAAAAAAAAAAGAAATACTTATGATTTTTTACAAGGTAGGCTATTTGACAAACCTAGCTGAAAGCTTAAAAGGAGCTAAGAGCTTAAAAGCTATAAGCTAGGAGCTGAAAATTGAAGAGCTGTTAAGCTAGCTGTAATGCTTGGAAGTGTTTGGTAAAATTAGCTTTTTGATAAGTTAATAAATGTAAAAAGACAAAAAATGACATCTTCATAAAATTTAATTTAGTTTGTTTACAAATTAAAATTTAACATTTTGTCCTAAAAAAAATTAACATTTTGAAATAAAATTATTAGCATAATCATGATCTAGCATCCCATAATGAAGTAGCAACTAACAATAATGTTGAGAATTAATTAAGAAGGGAATTTAAATTTCCTCCAACCAAACGCCCTGTAAGTGTCTACAAAATAATAATAAACTCCTAACTTTTTTTTAAGAATGACACTATCTACCCACCCAATCAAAACTCCAGTAGTCTCTTTAACTATTTTTGCCATCAGTAACGCCACTTTCCCTATTTTATCCCATTCTATATATTTACTCTCATTTCCTCCCACAATAATAGGTAATATGTTTTCAACTTTTAAATATCTTTTTAGCTAAACTTGTCAAAAAATAGTCTAAAAGTATTTAATTCATTTACCTCTATCATCATCACTCTAGAGGCGAATTAATCTGACAAAACTGTGATCACTTAAATATAAAATAAAAATAAAAATTAAGTCATTAAAATGTTTAGATAGTAATACAAGAAAAATTATTTAAAATTTTATTAATTAGAGTAATAGGAAAAGTATTATATTCTGCTAGCATATTCCAATAATTCCATGCATGGCTATAAAAACAACTCACTCAACCACTAGTTACTAATAATATTTCGATTTTAAATGCAACTATGCAAGTGGATAATATGAAATTCAAAGCCAACCACATATTAAAATTTCTCATATATCCTTTCGATATAGGAGACATCCAAAAGAACTTTAACTCAAGATTATTATATTACATTTCATCTCGTCACCACTTACATGAACGATGATATTTTCTCATCTACTTGCATAGTGACCCTAACATATAATAAGCACCTCCACATAGGAAATCAACCAACTCGACTAGAGTTGTCCCAAAACTTAATTTCTATCTTATTATTGCAGAAAATTATACCATGGATCAGACCCGGGTCTATCTTACATTATATTTACAGTTGACACATTTTGTAAACTTGTAAACAAATTGAAGGTATAATATGATAACTACAAGACGCATAAACTCTAAATACATAAAATGTTAACTGCATTATAGATACAGTGCAAGTACATAATATATTATGTTAACGGTAGACACATAATTTTTGGATTAAGATTCACAATACAATATGAATCTGGCCTTATCTTGGTCCATGATATAACAATGGCATTATTGCTATATCGGCCTACCTAAGGAAGCTAGGTTATTGTTAACATCATTGAGATATTAATTAGTATATTAAATCAGTTGATTAGATGAAGTTGTTTCATTGTCTTTTTGCACTTTATTCATTAAAATACTAAAATGCCAGCAGCATTGCCTTTCTGTCTCCCCTATTAACTCAAACAAACTATTAACTCGGCCAAACTCAAACAAACGATTTTTCAGTCTTCTTCTTTTCAACAAAATGGCCAGGCCTAAAATCTTGAAATGGCTGATTTTACTCCTAGTTCTGCTCACATGCAATTTCTCCACTGCAAAAGAAACGCAGCCCATAACAGAAACCTCCAAGCTCCATAAGTTCTTGAATTCAGTTCATCAATGGAGGAATCGGGTGAGCCAATCAGAAGACGGGAATCTGAAGCTTGGAGCTCCTATGGTGCTGGTGGGAATCCTTTGTTTCATAGCCGCAACTATATCGAGTTCGGGTGGAATTGGCGGGGGAGGCTTATACGTACCGATTCTAACCATAGTTGCCGGGTTTGATCTCAAAACATCCTCGAGCTTCTCGGCATTCATGGTGACAGGAGGCATAATTGCTAACGTTGTCTGCAACATGTGTGTTACTTCTCCGAAGCGAGGCGGGAAGATCTTGATTGACTTCGATATAGCGCTATTGTCGGAGCCATGCATGTTGCTGGGAGTGACTATTGGGGTTATCTGCAATATTGTGTTCCCAGAGTGGCTCATCACGGCTCTGTTTGCCGTGTTTCTTGCTTGGTGTACTACCAAGACGTTCAAGTCCGGGGTTTCGTACTGGAAACAGGAATCTCAAGGGCTAAGGAGAAGTGGGAGTAGAGAGGTGGAGAAAGGGTTGCTGGAACACAAGAACTTTGATGGGAATGAAGGGACTGTGTTGAAAGAAACAGCAAATTGTAGAGTGGGAATTCCATGGACGAAATTTGGGATGCTGATTCTCATCTGGTTTTGCTTCTTTGTTCTGTATATCCTTCGTGGGAATCGATATGGGAAGGTATATTAGTATATTAGTATATATGTCTTCTTTCTTATCATCTTCTTAGCTTTCTGCAAAATCTGAGTTTCCTCTGCATGAAAAGTGAGTCCCTTTTTCCTTGATTACTTGATGAAGATTTAGATCAGATCAATCCTTTTTGGTTAAAATAGTTAAATATTCTTGAATAATATTGAAATGAGTAGGCAGAGTTGTTGATCTGATCATAAAAGTATTCTTTTAAACAAGTAGCCTTTTTTCTCCCATACATGATTGTGTGGACATAATTATTAAGAAACCTTTGTCTGTACTATGAATAGCCTAGATTAAACTATGTGCTGGAAAATACATGTATTTTGGCAGATTGTATCAGAGGAAATAAATGAAAAAAGGTGGCAAGTGGCAACAATATCAGAAAGTGCTAGTAGCTATATGAGATTGTATTTTCTCTTGTTAGGACTCGAACTTGTAACATGGCTCTGATACCACTTGTTAGGATCAAACGAATGTGCACTTTTATTTCCTTACATAACTACATTTTCGAGAGGCGGGTGTTGGACCTTGTGGTAACCCGAAGTACTTGGGACAATATATATGCAGGGCATTATTCCCCTTGAAACTTGTGGAGTTGGGTACTGGCTCATTTCATCACTCCAAATACCTCTTGCTGTGATCTTTACAGCATGGATCCTGTTTGCCTCCCACAGTTCAGCTTCCCAAGAGGTATTTATTTTCTAAAATTTCTTTAATATTCCAATTAAGAAGCAGCATTAATTAGTTGTTTCATCTTGTGTGGTGAGGTTTTTATTTTCTAAATTTTCTTCAATCTATTGAAGGAAGAGGCAGGTGAAGGTGTAAAAGGACTGTCAAACAGGCTTGTTTTCCCCATGATGGCCTTTCTAGCTGGGCTTCTTGGTGGAGTGTTTGGCATTGGTGGTGGAATGCTCATAAGTCCTCTCCTAATCCAAGTTGGAATAGCCCCTGAAGTAAAGATTTTCTTTTAGCCATTTTGGGTTTCACAGAATTTGGAAATTAAACCTAATAATACTATGTTTCGCTGCAGATCACATCAGCAACCTGTTCATTCATGGTGTTTTTCTCCTCCACTATGTCAGCAGTGGAATACCTTCTTCTGGGAATGGAGCAAGTGAACAGTGCCCTCATCTTATCCAGCGTTTGTTTCGTGGCATCACTTATCGGGCTGGTTGTGGTTCAGACAGCAATAGAAAAACATGGGAGAGCATCACTGATTGTGTTCTCTGTTGGAACAGTGATGGCTTTGAGTACTGTTTTGATAACTAGTTTCGGAGTTATTGATGTCTGGGAAGATTACAGGACAGGGGAATACATGGGATTCAAGCCCCCCTGCTGAACAACAGAAGAAACAAAAAATATGAATTGAAGTTTTGTCAGTTTTGTGCAAGTTCTTGTATGCATAGTTTCACCTTCAATAACCCCAGAGACTTTTTCTGAACTAAGAGCCTCAATTTTGTAATAACTGTATAGTATGGTGCATCAAATATTTTCTGTATTAATAAAGGTCCGACAATAATTATGAATCATGATATGACTTGTTGACAACTAAACAAACAAAATCAATAAAGAATTTGCAGCAGACACTTGTGGAAAATGAAATGAAAGCACATATATATATAATTGATGGTGAAATGATCAGGCGTGGGCTCCTTGTTGATGATTGAGCTTCTTCTCCTCTTGAACTGCGGCAGTTGCTGCAATGTAATAGGAAACTGAGAAGAGTCCATGTATGAAGCACAGTATCCCTCCCACTGACAGATAATGCTGATGTGAAATCCCACAAGATCTTCTTGATCTCGAGTTTGATAGTGTTCCCATCACCAGTATTGAGAATGCAATAACGAAGATAAGCCTGATTATCAACAAAAATGCTATTTGCTTAGGCTTTTAGTTGAGATGGAATACATGCTTCAATTTGGTATCAGAGCCATGCCAAAGGTCATGGATCCAACTATGAGTTTAGGTTTTTAGTTGAGATGGAACACATGCTTCAATTTCGGTAACTATGTAGTTACAAATTTAACTGGAGCAGCCTGTTGGCCTTCTTGGTAATTGAGCCAGTCAACTATGAGCAGCCTAAGCTGGTTTAGCTAAGGTCACAAACAGAGATTTATTTAGTGCATATGGTTTAGCTAGGGTCAGAAGGTGGGGTTTATTTAAGCGTGAAATTAAGACAAACCATTGCAAGACAAGAGATGCAAAAGCAAGTTGTTTGTTGGAAGAGGATTGGTCCATTTCTTCCTTGGATCTGATGCAAATGCAGCCACCAAGCAACTTTGAAATGACTTGTGCCAGAACCAGAAGTATAGTTGCAGCCAATCCTAGCTTAAAAGCTTGATAACTAGGATCTCTACATTCAAATATCCACACCTTTAAGTTGTTAACCTGTTCCATATATAAATCCTTAAAATGGTTAGCTTGCTGCTTCAAATTAAAGTGTCATTAATGATTGATCTGAGGCCGGGCAGAACAAAATTGAATTGAACCACTGCACATACCTTATTCTGAGCTACCTCGGCTTGAATGCCGAGGATGCCAGCTGCAATGTCCAAAATCATGATCAGAAGACAAACGAGAATGCCTGTGTGTTTAGCCATCTTCGCCGCCATTACACCGAGCCTGGATTGATCTAAAGAGATGCAGTAGTAGTGGTTCTTGAACTACAAGTATTATAAACATGGGCCACATTCTTAGCTTATATATATACTTTAAACTTGGTTTGAGTCTTGGAGAATCAGAATAAAGTGAGAGTTAGTATTATAAATCTGGGAAGATTAGCTGTGCAAATGGAGAAAAAGGTGAACTTTGTCCTGAAAGAGTTGTTTATTCTGCTTTAACTTGGCTTGTCCTTATCTTGTTATGTTGGGATGCTTTTCCACAGGGAGCAAGGAAAGCAGGGTATCAATATCATCAACACCTGCAGCCCGGAATTCAAAAGCATGAACAGCTCAGATAAGAATTTAGTCAATCCATCTTTTTTTTTTTTTTTTTTTTTTTGCCTGACGAGAGAAACCCACAATCACTTTCTTGTGAACTGGTAAATCCGGCCTTGTAACCTTAGCCAGTAAAAGACCTCTAGGAGGTAACCAGTCTAGATTGCCTATAGGCTATAGCTGACCAACTCAAAACAAAGAAGTCAATAAATCAAATTTAGAACTTTGTGGTTACTAAGCCAACGCTAGATTAACTTGGTTGGGGTTGTTCTGGTGAATCGATCTTCTTGCATGCATGCATGCTTATATTCCAAACTCCAAAGTCACTTTCACTTGCACGTTACTGCATCTTCCAGATGGGAGGTATTAGGTTCCCAGGCCACTTTGCTTCAAAGAGAAGCACTGTATATTCATTATATAATCATATATATGATATATCCATAATTTTTACTATAATCTTAAAGTTTCTTTGTTTATTGTGACATATATATAGTTTTCTTAATAACATTTTGTCTTTAGTAAGTGTATTTAAATAATTATTACTAGTTACAATATCACTGGAACAATCAAATGCTAAATGACCAACAATATGATAGGGTGGAAAGAATAAAACATATGATAGAAAATAATGAAAATAAAATAGAATTTTATTAGAAATAAACAGCAGTTTAGACTTTAGAGAGAGTATAATCAGTAATTGATAGTTCAATTAATTTCTGGATTGTAATTGTATCAAGGGAATTAAAATTTAAAAACATAAACAAAGAAAAAGGGAGCAGATGAAATGGGCCCTCAAACCAATTAGGCCCAATTCATATAGATTTAGATTTAACTTTTTCTCAATTTGGCCCAAATCGTATAATATTAAACTCTTATGTATTTTCAAAAAATTAAACTATTATGTTAACCATATTCAGATAAATTTCAGGGACATACCCTATACCCCTCTAATAATATCTTGATTAAGTTTATTGAAAATAACAATCTTACACTCCTTTAAAAAAAAAAATCTTACACTTTAGTTTATAAAAAAGTTAGCTACCACCACTCGAAAATGCATTTTGGTTAAAACCCATCTTGACCTTAGTCAATAAAAGATTACAAAGACGTAAATCAGTCTAATTATCCATAGCTAATCGATTTAAACTTGTAAATTGAAAAAATTGTAGGTGCAGGTTCCAATTTGTTCCTTACATACTATTAATAATTATTCTTTTTTGTTACATTTATTACTATAAATCATTTTCCATTTTTTTTTATCTAAGGGAATGGGGGGACCCGCCTAGGCTATTGCCTAGCTCTAGAGGTGCTCTTCTGTCATGTTATAAAATCTTTATCCGCTTCTAAATTTTCCATATTAATTTATGGTGAGTTGATAGCGATTTCAAGTGAACTTCCACCATTAGATTCAAAGTTTAGTTTCTTCTCTTTTACTCGTCATTCTTCAATTCTCTTATCGTCCCTTATTACTTTTTTCCCCACTAATCTTGCCTACACAACATGTACCTTAATGTGACATCTCATTAATGATATCATGCATTGTTTTTTTGTAGAGGTAAGGGAATTTATACCATGTCATATTTTGGTGCACATATATGTCTGGGTGCATGTGAGAGAAAGAGATAGCGGTCCTGCTTCTTCTACTCCGTATTTATTAATCAGAGCTGGCAGCCATTTGCATTATCCATGGAAGCTAAGTCCTGCTTCGTTATAGTCCAAATTCAATTCAATGCAATCACACTAGTTTCGATTAACTTTGAAATCTAATTATTGTTAAATTTCATCAAGAAAAGAAAATAAAAGAATGGTGATATGTTTATCCCTATAACTTAAATACTCCTACAAACAACTCATCACTTTATCTCCATTAAACATACTTCCTCAAACTATTTGTTATGGAAGACTCAACTTGTTAACTTTTTTCGTAATCAAAATCTCAGTAGACACGTTGAAGACACATTTCTGTGTCCGGCTTCATTTATTAAGGCTCTGGATGAGTGTCTTGTTGTAGCCTTGCTCCGGATAAGTGTTTTGTTGTAGCTGCGCTCCGAATGAGCATTCCGTTGTAGTTGCGTTCTGGATGAGCGTTTCGTTGTAGCTGCGCTTCGGATGAGTGTTTCGTTGTAACTGTGCTTTGAACACTACTGGAAATTCTGAAATTTCCGACCACCTGAAAGTGATCTTAAATCAAGTTGAAAGTCTTGTTTCGACCACTTTTGGTATCCGGAAAAACCTTTGTTGCTATTTCCGACCACTTTTTGGACTTTTTGGTATCAACTTAATTTAAGATCATTTTCAGGTGGTCGGAAATTTCAGAATTTCCAGTAGTGGAATGAGTGTTCCGTTGTAGCTGCACTCCAGATGAGTGTTTCATTATAGCTGCACTCTGGATGAGTGTTCTGTTGTAGCTCCGCTTTGGATGTGTGTTCCATTGTAGCCGATCCTGCGACCAAAAATTTGGTCCTTTAGGAGTCTTTTATTTTGTTCGTGACAAAGTAGCATCAAAGGAACTACATGAAAACTACATCTCTACAAAAAGACCAACTGGCTGACATCTTCACCAAGTCACTGACCACAACAAGGTTAAATGATCTAAGGGACAATCTCAATGTTCTCTCTAGAGAATCTTAAGTGTGAGGAGCGTATTATAACTTAGTATTCTAGGCACACTAGAATTCATATCCCTCTTCTTATATTATTAAGAATATTACCATTACCAAACTCTTTTTATCATTATAAATACATCTTTTCATTATATATTTTTCATTACAATAGATTGATTAATAATAAGATCATCATTCCCAAAATTATTATTCTCATGCTCTTTATGTGGCTAATAATCATTGTGAATATAATTATGTTCATGAACCAAGACTATGTGGTCTAATGGTACCCGGGTTGGACTTCCATTTGGAAGGTTGTGAATTTGAGCCTCAGTGGAGGCATTATTGGTTCTTTGTGTTTCAGTAGGTTGAGAAAGTATATAAACAGATACTACATTGTAATAGAGTCAGTAACATTAAAAAAAAAAATGTTCATGAATGGGCTAACCCTATGAACTTGTAATAAAAAAAATTAAAGTATCCAATTAAATAGAGTCAGGTGGGTTGGAAAAATTATGAGGAAATTTTTTTGAAGAAATGCGTATCATTACTCTAAAAAAATTATTCTAATAGCTATTATTATTATTATTATTATTATTATTATTATTATTATTATTATTATTATTATTATTATTATTATTATATTATTGAAAAGTAGGATAGTAAATGGAGTCAATGTTGGGCAACTGCCAATTAAGGCGGATAAGGTGGAGTATAGCAAGGGGTAGTTAGACATTGAAGACTTTAGGGGGCCATCTTCTTAAATTAGAGTGGTAGTTATCTATCTATTTATATTTCTATAAATGAAGAAACAAGTTGTTATGGCCTTATCGGGCAACAAACTGAGTTGATCAAATAGTTAATTTAGTAATCAAAAAGTTATAAGCTCAATTTTTTTATGAAAATTGTTTATTAATGTTCTCATTTTGAGTTGATCAATTAAAATCATAAGACAAACATCTTCGCATAGCGACTAGAATGTTGCATCTATTAATTGAGGCTACCTACACAACACTACAAATTGGATCCTCAGCTCATTCATCTAATTAACACAATTTTATAATATCTATACACTACTTGTAATCTTTAACCTATGCAATATCAGTATGTTACTTAGGATATGGATGCCAAATATATATAAAGTTGACACTTGATTTTGTTTTTCTTGAAATGGCAAGTAAAATGTTTTGCAAGATTAATTATTCGATTAATATTTCCTATAACTCTAATGGATATATCAACTATGCCAATATACAACAATCAATATAACACATCAAAGAAATCGAAATATATTACATTAAAATGAGAGACTATAATATTACTTTATTTGGATTATTTTCAATGAAGTATGATTTTTCGGCACTTTATTTTTACATAATATTTAGAGATTTTTTATTCTGATTAATTTACACCTTTTATCTCTACCATTTACACCATTGTGTTTCCTTCCTCGCACTGTGAATTATAATTGAATATAAGTCAATTACTTATAGACTTAATTGTGCATTAAAAATCAACCAGATTATATCACGTACTCATGACACCAACATAAATTTAAAAATAATGTAACAAGTAAGGAATTTAATCAATTAATTAATTATTTTACCTAAATTCAAGATTAGAAAAGAAAAATCAAACATTGGTTGAGGATACAAGGAGATTTATTCCAAAGGTTAATGATTGATGTTGATCATTGTCCTTAAATCAACACAAACTCATTCTTTCATGGTATGGAAGCTTTTTATAATTTTTCATAAGGTTCTTAATTGGCTGACTGTTCTAATTACTACCTGTGGCAGTGTACCATGTTTGCATATTGTGGACTCCAGCTTTGCCATTAAATATCTCCCAAATTAGAAGTAAGATCTCTCATATAAAGTTCTTTAATTCCCCCTACTAATATCTGTATGTTTTTTGATACATTATATTATTTAAAGAGTTTGAAAATCAAATTTAGACATTGTAAGATCAAGCACTTACTATTATATACTACACTATTACTATATCTATTATATTTGTGATGACTAGGGATGAGCGTAATTCGAATTATTAGAAGTAACATTTAAAATCTGAACAGAATTTTAAATTTCAAATTAATCCAAATAGTTATTCGTTCGGATATTTTAAATTATGGTATATCATAATATAAATTCGATTCAAATATCATGTGTTATCATTTTATCCAACCCAAAACTCGAACTAACCCCAAATTTTGTTATAAATACTGAATAAATTATTATTAGCTATTAAATATATTTTGTAATAAAATTATTTTAATTTTCAAAACTCTCTTAGCTAATTTGTTAGTATTTTGTGTCCTTTTAAAACATCACCCAAAATTTTCATATTCTTGAAAAAATAATGAGGGTATCAAACGGACCGAACCCATCCAATACAATGATGGCTAATATATATTTGTTTTCTTATACACAAAAACATCAAATATGCGTATTATGATATAAAAACGTACACACTATACTAGAACTATTTGAACATTAAAAAAAAAAAACATCATTAAAATGTTACATGATCCAAATAATATGCATTAATTAGTTCATTCTGATGTCCTAAATGGTGAATATATTTTAATTTTCAGAATTTAATGTGTCAACATTAAATGCGCAATGAACTGGGTCAGTGCATGGAAGTTCGAAGCAATAAATCTAATGAAAGAAGTTTCCATAAATTAGAACGGACTGGTCTCTACATATTGTCATATACATTCATTTATGGCCTGGCGCAGGAAGGCAATGTAACTGCAGGCTACGACTATGGATACTTTCCAAGTAAAACAAGCAAAAAAATATGGCCTAAAAATTGTTTTTCTTCATTCACTAACCTATCTTTTTCCCTTCTTTGCCAACTCTATCTAATGTTTTCAAGATTTGTGAAGTTTGAGGCCTGCAGAAGGGCTTTAAGGTTTAAAAAAGATGCCAGCTGCGGTTTGGTTTTCCTTGAAGAAGTCATTGAACTGCAGATCAGAGGTGGGAGAGGTTCATGATCCGAATTATAGAGGTGGCAGAAATTTGGGGAAAATATCGACTAGTACTAGGAAGAGTAGCACGATTCGGTCGGGTTGTTCGAGGTCGATTGCGAATCTTAAGGATGTTGTGATTCATGGGAGCAAGAGGCACACTGAGAATCCACAGCTGCAAAGCCCAAGATCTATTGGAAGTAGTGAGCTACTGAATCCAATTGTTCATGAGGTGGTTCTTAATAATTCAACCTGTGAGCTCAAGATTACCAGCTATCCTTTCCAAGATGGCAACGGGTGTGGTGGCAGTAGCAGCGGTGGTGGTGGTTCAGGTTCACCCTTTGTGGGTACCCTTAAGCCTGGGACTCCTGGCCCTGGAGGGCACCAGGTCGCTCCCTCCAAGAGGCCTGGAGGGTTAGGCAGCCCCATAAGAATAGGGTCGTCTGGTAACCTTTCAAAGAGGACAGGATCTGGATTTGGTGGCATAGTTGTCCGGCCTCGGCCTTGGCCCCGGCCTAAGCCTAATTGTGGAGGTGATTACAATGGTTTTCTGGCTTTGACTTGCCATAAATGTGGTGAGCAATTCTCAAAATGGGATGCTGTTGAATCACATCACCTTTCCCAACATGCTGGTAAGACCATCATTATATTCTAACACATTATTGATGTCTTCAAGAACTCCCGCCCTCCTAACGATTGGGCGGAGGCTGGTAAAGGCCAAGTCTAATAGGAGTGGCTTAGGGATTGCTGGATGGAGGTCGATAAAGGGCTTAAAGGACCAAGTCCAGCCCCCAATGTCTCAAAAACGTGTTGCAGTATGAGAAAATAAAGTTGCACCTTTGCTACGAGCTATAGCTTTTGGTATAGTGGTAAGTGTTTGATCCTAACAAGTGGTATCAAAGTTGAGTCCTAACAATAACATTAACATTTAAGACTGGCTGGGAGCCGGGAATTGTTGGGCAAAGACTGGTAAAGGTGAAGTCTAGCATTTAAGACTGGCTGGTATTGGGAGCGGGGAGTTGTTGGGCAAATGTCGGTAACCTTGTGGTTATCGAGTTAACCGTCTGACCAAATGCTGGGGTTAATTTGTAATACTAACTCAATAATCAACATGCTTAATTAGTCACGTACTTAATCCATACTTCAAAGCTTCATCTATCTATGATTCTTGAAAGTAAAAAATGTGCATTATATTTGATCTATGATTTGATTGTAGTTACACAGCTTGTTGAAGGGGACTCTTCAAGGAACATTGTAGAAATGATTTGCAGAACAAGCTGGGCAACAAAGTCTGACAACACTAACAATTGTAATGGGATGGAGAGGATCCTGAAGGTGCATAATATGCAGAAGACACTGGCTGAATTCGAAGAGTATCGCGAAAGGGTGAAGATCAAAGCCAGCAAACTAGCCAAGAAACACGCGCGTTGCCTAGCAGATGGGAACGAGCTGTTAAGGTTCCACGGCACAACCGTAGAATGCAACCTCGGCGCAAATGACTCCTCGAGCCTTTGTACCTCGGAGAAATGCAACGTTTGCCGGATCCTGAGACGCGGTTTCGCAATCAAGAAGGAAATCAATGGAGGGGTTGGAGTTTTCACAGCTTCTACTAGCAGTAGAGCACTTGAAGCCATTGAAGAATCAAGCTGTGCAAACCAAGGTGCTGCGAGGAAGGCACTGATAGTGTGCAGAGTGATTGCTGGGAGGGTGCACAGACCACTGGAGAATGTTGAAGAATTGGCAGGCCAATCTGGGTTTGATTCATTGGCTGGTAAAGTAGGCATTTACTCAAACGTTGAAGAGCTCTTTCTGCTGGATCCCAGGGCTTTGCTTCCTTGCTTTGTGGTAATCTGCAAAGCATAAAATGGAATTCAACGTGACTTTTCCAAATGGAATGTCGTCATTGCATCAGTGTTATGTACTGATCACAAAAAAATTACGTCACTTTCTCGTAAATCAAAGGAATTATATTGAATGTCACTGCAACGGTGTCATGTACCGGCCACAAAAAAATTTCATTTGCTTCCAAAGATTATAGTTTAATTTATCACGCACTGGCTGGAGTGATCAATTTTGTTTACTCTTTTCCATTTTTCTCTTTTACTTGTTTAATAGTTGGGTCATTTTGTCAGAGAATTGCAGGGATTTCGTGATGATTGCTTCCATGGTTGGTGAGCTTTTAGTAGCTCTTGTCCTACTGCATATCTTATAGTAATTGCTTTGTCGGAAATATAATGCATAAATGATATGATGTTCTTCAATTCCCTGATGAGTGTTTATTTGAACAACCTATCCATTTAATTTTGAAAAATACTTAGTATACTCACATTTTAAACTCCCAACTTATACTCCCTTTTAAACTCTCAACCTGTACTCCCTTTCACATGTTCTTGATGTAGACATTTTGCTGTGGACCTACATGATGAAAATAACCAATTCTGATTTGCTACCTCAGGAATTATAAATGAGGGAGTAGAATTTTGAGAGTTTATGTAGTTGAACTCTTTAATTTTAGGACGGTAGTTTATAAATGACGCGCATTAAATGTGTGCAAATACACTAAATGTGTGCCCCATAAATTTGTACCCGCGGCGGGCACCGACGAAATCCTAAAAGCAACATCAGCCGATCCCTGTAACTGATTTAATGAGCCATTCGCAGTTTCACAGTCTGAATTAGTTCATAATTACACATGCATGGCTTAATCATTGAGACAATTATATATATATATATATATATATATATATATATATATATATATATATATATATATATATATATATATATATATATATATATATGACATTTTGGAGAGTGAGCACGGAAGAGGGAGTGAGAATAGCAGACTGAAAAATGTGAGAAATTTTGAAGGAATTACCGTCACCCAGATGTATTTTATCGGGACCCTTGTACTCAGAGAAGGTGCGCAGAATAGCCATATTGGGGGTGGCGTGATGAGTCGCCTCACTGTCAAATAACCATGGTGAAGCCAATCCTACAGTGGAATTTGCTGTAGGAGACTGATTGGATGGAGTTGCCTGCATGGGAAAAACATTATGGGCTTTTAAAAACCGAGCTAACTTACGACAGACACGGGTTTCATGACCAGCAAAGTTACAAAATTGGCACACAACATTGGATCGACTGTTGCCATTTTGTGGTCGAGTTTGCCTGTTAATAGCAAGCTATAAATAGTATACAAATGAGAGTAAGTAGCAGGGATCGAAGTTGTAACAACTATCATAACATAGCTGTTATATTCTACAAAAGTATAATTAGAACAAATATAGAGATAGAAAATGTCGTGGAAGAAATTGATGTTAGAATAATTATGATGTGGCTCATTAATTTATTATTATAAAATTTTTTAATTAAGATAAATTTTTATCTTTAAATTTAATAATGTACTATTTTTATTATTAGTCAATTAAGAGATAATATCAAATTGATTTGAACCGCTTATCACTTTATCTCTCCTGTTGGAACGTGAAAACAAAGGGTTATTATTTTGAGACTCTAATCCTCCCTCTCATTTTCCGCATAAATAAAAGCGCTCTCCATCAAAGTTCTTAGTTTAAGGAAATGCAAAAGGTCTGAAGGGAGAAATCAAGTCTCTACTTCAAGCAACGCGGGGAAAACATGGAACCAAGTATGTTCGTTAAGCGCTAATTAAGCATTATATATGAAATTCATTGTGTTATTAAGATACTTAGGGTTTAATTATCTTACGTGTGGTATACTTAGGGTTTATCTTACATGTGGTATTAGAGCCAAGTTGAGGAACATTATGGCCTTGTTTGGTAAAAAATTGGCCTATAGGTCAATTTTGGCTTATTTGACCATTATTAATTGTTTGATTAATTAGCTTTTTGCAACTCCAAAAGACTAAAATTCAAAATGCTACTCCAAGCAACTTTTTCAATTAGCTTTTTGAGAAAAGAAATTATACCAAACAGCTATCAGCTAACAGCTAATTTACCAAACATTTTTCTACAATCAGCTACTATTATCAACTATTTATACCTTCTAATTAACACAATAAGCTAACAGTCATTTTACCAAACAGGGCCATATATGATTTTTCATATATGATGATAGATGCAAATCAACAACTTTTCATATATGATGATGGATGCAAATCAATGGCTTGTTACGTATATTACTGAAACATTATATTTTATGGATATGTAAATTACAGTACGTATGGGATATGTTTTAAAGGATTAAACATAGATGTGTTAATTACGTTAGTGACTGCAATTGTATTCATATATATGTGTCCTCCCTTTCAATTATGTGAGTGACTAACATTTGTGTCGTCCCTTTCAATGAACTCAATAATGGGATAAATTCATTGATTAATGATTAATGCGTTTTAATTTATTAGTGCTTTAGTATTGTCTGCAATTAAGATAAATATTAATAATTGAGTAAATTACTTTAATTTGAGTATATTTGCAGCACATAATTTTCACTCCTTGCATATCACATACTTTCTCAACTTACTGAAATACAAAAAGTCAATATCCCAGACTAGGACTTCCTGAAACACAAAGAGCCAATACCCCACACTACGGTTCGAACCTGAGGGGATTGCATGAAAATGAGGTAATTGCAATTACGTGTAACTGCAATTCCTTCCAACCAAACTAAGGGGGGTGTATTCAATCATGACTTTCATAGAGTTTTAAAGACTTTTATGAACTTTAAAAGTTTGGGGGTATTCAATTCAAACTTTTAGAGAGTCTTTAAAAGTCATGGTATTCAATCAAGATTTTTAAAGAATCTTTAAAAGTCGTGTGGTATTCGATTAAGACTTTTAAAGAGTCTTTAAAAGTCACGTGGTATTCAAAAAGTTATAATTTTTTTAGACTTTTTAATTTTAAGACTTTTGTATATTTTTTCTTCTCAAATATAATAGTTGAAATCCAACCATCAACCCCCAAATTTCAAAATTTTCTTTCTAACAACTTTTATGTTTTCTCTCTCTACTTAAACTCTATTTTTTCTCCCAATTTAAACTTTATAAAGTATAAACCTATCTAAATTTAATAAAATTATTTTTTCTTCATTATCCTATATTTTCCTCATACCTAAACTCTACCAAATTTTCTCTCTCTCCTAAACTTTACAATCTTCCTCTAAAAATTCGAAATAATATTATTTTTACTTCATTATTCCTTGTTTATATTGATTTTTATTTTTTTCTATGAATTTTTATCCCTAACTTTCTCTAATTCTCCCTAAATACATGAACAAAGCACACTTTTCATCATCAAATTTTAGTATATGTTTCATAATATTCATATAAATACTTATATATTTTGATTTTTATTCTTTTTATGTTTATATTCGTAATATATATTTTTCCTTTTTTTTTAACAAGAAGTTACTACTAATAGCTAACTACTGTTCGCAACAACAATTTGGGGTTGCAAAAAGTAACACTTTGTAGTTGTTCGCAGTCTCAAATTGCTATTGCAAATAATAGTTATTTGCGTGATGCCTAGCAATATATCAAGTATAATTATATATATATATATATATATATATATATATATATATATATATATATATATATATATATATATATATATATATATATATATATATATATATATATATATATAGAAAAACGCTCATATGTGGTCATGTCATTAGGTGTGGTCGTGTGGTCGTATCTGTGTCGTTGAATCAGTTTAATCTAAAGGCTGTGGTAATTCTGAGGATTTTCGCGCGTTTTAGTAAGTGGGGGTGTTATGGTAATTACAGTGACCATTTATAGCGGGCGGGTTCCAGAATACACCAACAGTGTTGACAACATGCACCAATAGTGTAATAAAACACACCACAGTGAAACACACCAATGGTGTATTCCCGTGTTATGGTAATTACAGTGGCCATTTATAGCCGTCGAGTTCCAGAATACACCAACAGTGTTGACAACATGCACCAATAGTGTAATAAAACACACAACAATGTGATTTTCCTTATTCCGGTGTTTTATGACAAGTTTACCCTTACAGTTTGCTGGGTAGAAGAATGTGCGCGAAAATACTGAAAAAATCTTGATTAATATGATCCATTAGATCTATAGAGGAGTGATCACATGTGGCCATGTTGTTAGGTGTGGTCATATATATATATATATATATATATATATATATATATATATATATATATATATATATATATATATATATATATATATTAAATATTAGATTTTTTTTTTATTTTATGCAACTTGTAATTATATTTTTAAATATTTTATTTGATCAATTCTTTTATTATTTATTATTCAACATTGTTATGAATTTCTAATGAAATATTTTTTTTTATGTTTATTAATAATATATATAAGTAATTAGCATATAAGTCTCAACATACTATGGATAAAAATAATAATGTTGAGAATGTTGATGTGGGTGAAGAACTACATAATAAGAAAATTTTATGATATATTACAAATGTATTGTAAGAAAATTATAAATGATAAGAATAAAATTCATTGAAAGTTTGTAAGGATGTATTCAATTTAGAGTAGCTTCTCATTGACTCTCATTGGCTCTACAAGCATTCGATATGCCCCAAAAATCACTCAATTCATCTAAATCATCAATAATTATACATAAACACACAAATGAATCAAATGAGGACACTTTGCGCAAAATTATAACAAATAACAAGGAAAGTAAGCTTAAAGCCTTAAATGCAATGTGAAATTATAAACTTTTAGACTCTTATCAATCATCATCACCATTTTCTAAATAATAATATAGAAGATCCAAAAAATTAAAGAATACAATAATAATAAGGATAGAGATAATAATTGTAACAATAATTGCTCACCAAAATAATAATTGTAACAATAGTTATATTGCTCACCAAACCATATGGCTATATTATAGTTAAGATGCCGTAAGTAGGGATAACTTAATATTAGCACAATGCATGCATGCTAAAAACATTCTATGACTAGTAACTTAACTTAAATACTACATCTAACGTCTAAGTGTTTGAAGTCGGCACATTAGAGACGTCGAGGACCACCTTGGCCTTCGCATGATGAGCAACGGTGATGACATTCTCAATTTTGGTTTGGTTCTTCATTCATTATTATCAACACTAATAAAATTCGCTTCTATATTGTTGGAGAAATTAGGCTGATAATGTGAAAATAAAGAAAATGTTGTGTCGTGGTATAACCACTATCATAGAAGCAAATTCGTCGCTACCTATCGCGAAAAGGAAAGGCGAAGGAAACTGGTAAAGCTTTGTTATTCTAACGTGAACATCATACTGGAAATGAAAGTTGCTTACATGAAAGAGGTAACTGCCACCTTTATATACAAGAAGGGTGATGGCAGTTATAACAGAAAAAGAAACAGATATTTTTCTACTCAAAACAGATATTTTTCTACTCTTGTTGGCCTTCTTCCTCTAATACCCCCCCCCCCCCCCCGGGTAAGCTGGAGTGTGCAAGTCTTGAATACCCAGCTTAGATACAAAAGTATGAAACAAAGAGGAAGCTAACGGTTTTGTGAAGCCATCAGCGATTTGGTTAGCAGAGGACACAGATAACAGTTTAATCAACCCCTGGACAATCCTTTCCCTTACGACATGGCAATCGATCTCGATGTGCTTAGTCCTTTCGTGGAACACGTGGTTCTCAGCAATTGCCATAGCAGACTTACTGTCGCAGAAAATAATGATAGGCTCAGTTGTGGTTACTTGCATGTCTTGAAGGAGGGAGTTTAACCACTGTAATTCACATGTTGTCATGGCTAAGGCTCTATATTCCTCCTCAGAGGATGATTTGGAAACCGTAGCTTGTTTCTTTGAGCGCCATGAGATGAGGGATGTACCTAAGAAGGCACAAAAGCCTGTGACTGATCTGCGAGTTTCTGAGCAAGATGCCCAGTCGGAGTCTGAGAAAGCTTGAAGCTTGAGTTTGTTGTTGGTTGGGTAGAACACTCCCTGGCCTGGAGATCCCTTAATATATCTTAATATGCGGTGAGCAGCTATCATATGTTTGTCAGTAGGTGTGCTTACAAACTGACTAAGGTGATGTACAGCAAACGTGATGTCTGGTCTAGTTGCTGTAAGGTATAATAGCCTCCCGATTAATCGCCGATAGCTGCTTGGATCAGACAGAGGTATGCCATCGGTGTGAGTTAAAAGCACTCCCGGTGTCATGGGCGTGTGTACCGGTTTGCAGTGTAGGAAACCAGCGTCTTCAAGTATCTCGAGGGCATACTTTCGTTGGCACAAGTTAAGGCCAGAACTGCTGATTGTGGCTTCCATCCCCAGAAAATAGCCAAGAACACCTAAATCCTTGATTTTGAAGGCAGCATGCATTAAATCTTTCAGCTCCTGGATAAGAGATAGTTTGCTACTGGCCATTAAGATATCATCGACGTAGACAAGAAGGGCAATGAATTCTGTACCAGTACCCCTTGTGAACAATGGAGGATCTGCACTTGATTGTTTGAATCCAACTTGTAATAAAGCAGCTGTTAACTTGGCATTCCATTGACGGCTTGCTTGTTTTAGGCCATAGAGTGATCTTGTCAATTTTCACACTTGATTCGGCTTCTCGGTTTGAAATCCAGGAGGAAGCACCATATATACTTCTTCATTAAGATCACCATGCAAAAACGCGTTATTGATATCCATTTGATGAATGTTCCAACCTCTTGAAATGGACACGGCCAAAAAGGTTCGAATAGTTGTCAAACGAGCCACTGGGGAAAAGGTTTCAACATAGTCTATGCCCAACTGTTGTGTGTAGCCTTTGGCTACCAACATTGCCTTGTGTCTTTCGATGGAACCATCTGCTCTTAACTTAGTTTTATACACCCATTTGCATCCTATGGGTGTCTTTCCAGTTGGTAACTCTGTCAACTCCCAGGTGTTATTTTCCTGAAGTGCCAATATCTCTGCTTTCATGGCGTCTCTCCAACATTGATGTTGGATAGCTTGATTATAAGTTCGGGGTTCTGCAACTGAAGTGACTGCCATAGTAAAAGCTTTATGCAAGGGGGAGAGACCATCATATGAGATGACACGAGACAGAACATGGGGAGAAGTCCTCTGTATGGCTACTGACTCACAATAATAATCACCTAGTTTGTTTGGCACATGTCTTTCTCTAGTTGATCGTCGAGGGACTAGAGGAATGTCAATGTGTATCTGATCATCACCTGTACTTGTTTCATGACCACATGTTGACTGAGAAATAGCTTCGTCAGGTAACAAACTAGCTGCTGGTTCATGCAGGGGCTGATTTGTATGGAATTCAGCATGTGACAGGTTGACCGAATTGTGGTAACCACTAATGTTACTCCCAGGCTCAAGTTGTTCATCATGTATCAGTGTAGTGTCATCATTTGGAGGCTGCCCTTCAATTTCCAAGTCTATATTCAGAGGGATGTTTGGCAAAGATGGATTAAACAAGTGTGGATTCTGCACAGTATTCTTCAAGGATTGTTCTAGAAAGGGGAACTGCATTTCATAGAACACAACATCACGAGTTACAAATATAGACTTGTCAATTAAATCATAAAGCATGTAACCTTTGATATTTGCAGGGACCCCTATAAACACACACTTTCTGCCCCTCGGTTGCATCTTGTTTCTTTGGTGTGGTAAAGTAGATGCGAAGCAAAGACATCCAAATACTCTTAGTGTAGTAAGATCCGGATTTCTTCCATATAGTCTGTGATAGGGACTCAGTCCTTCAATCAAGGGAGAAGGAAGTCGATTGATCAGGAAAACAGCGTGTAAAACGCAATGACCCCAGAATTCCATAGGGAGTTTTGCTTGAAACCGAAGTGATCTTGCAACATTAATGATATATTGATGTTACCTTTCAACTACTGCGTTTTGTTGAGGGGTGTTAACGCAAGATCTCTGGTGCAGAATACCCTTGTCATCAAAGAAACTTCCCATCTCAAACTCGTGTCCATTATCACTTCGAAGAACCTTGATTACGACACCAAACTGAGTTGATACAAAGTTGTGGAACTTCTTTATTAAATCCCTGACTTCAGATTTTCTTTTCATGAGATGAAGCCAGGTGAACCTTGAGTAGTCATCTACTAGAGTTAGAAAATATTTCTCACCTTTCAGAGAATTAATTGGGAAGGGTCCCCATATATCTGCATGAACAATATCGAAACATGCATTTGTTGAAGAATTGCTTAGAGGGAAGGGGGACCGTTTGTGTTTAGCTAAGTGGCATACATCACAAGCTTTATTCGTAGGAATCAATCTAGGTAGATCCTTTAACAAATGCATTTTATTCATAGGGTAGTGCCCTAAACGTTGATGCCAAAGCTCAACTTTATTACACTGCATAACCAAATTTCTAGGAATAGAACCAGAGTTCATCACTATTGCAGGCTTTGTCATGAGGTATAAACCCCTCTCTTGTTTAGCTAAACCAACCATCTTCCCATGAGGTTCCCAAATTAGGCACTGTTCAGATGAGAAAACCAAATCATAAGCTGAATCTTGAAGTAATTTGCTCACAGATATTATGTTAAAGAAAAATGATGGAATGTGCATGGCATCTTTCAACCATAAGCCTTCTCCAATATGTATGTTCCCTCTGTGTTTGACACATATTCTTTCTCCTGTAGGCAGACTCACTTCATCCCCCTCAATAGCACGATATTCATGAAAAAATTGAGTAGAACAAGTGATGTGATCCGTAGCCCCGGAGTCTAGAATCCATGAAGAATTGCATAGAGAAATAGAATTAATATGAGAGGTAAGAAACTTGCCTTCATTCTGATCTGGATCAAACCTTGGAACAAGGGAGACAGCTGCTGTGGCACTTGAGCTTGACAAATGTCCCATCTGATTTTGAATGGCAGCCATCAATTTTTGAAACTGATCTGCAGAAACTCCTAAATCATTTGTATCATTCACCACTGGTGCGGTAATCTGCTGCTTAGCCTTAGATTTGTAGCCCGGCACCCATCCCGGGGGATAGCCGTGTTTCTTGTAGCATTTTTCGATAGTATGGCCAGTCAAGCCACAGAACGTGCACTTAGGCTTGTTAACTCCATTGTTCAAATACTTCTTACCATTGTAAGGATTGACAGCAGCTACTACTTCCTCTGTGGAGGTTTGAATGTTTCGAATGGCATTAGCCTGACTAATCTCAAGATTCCCTGTGAGTAGATTAGTCATGTTGATCTGCCTCTCTACCTTCTCTGCCATGACATAAATTTTGTAGACTTCCGGCAAGGGGTCCAGAATCAACACATTGGACTTCAATGCATTGTAATCATCGTTTAGACCTTGAAGGAAGCGGATCACCTGATCTATGTCTCGTTCCTTCCTGATCTTATCTGCAAGATTGCATGCGCAGCCGGTGCATAGACAGATGGGAAGAGGTCTCATAGCATTCATCTCTTCCCACATTGTCCTGCATTTAGTGTAGTATTCACTAACAGTTAAGCTACCTTGTTTCAAATTGTAGATCTCATTTTGCAGAATTGAGATCCTCTAAGCATCGCACTGTGCGAATCTTCTCTTGAGATCATTCCACACATCGCTAGCCTTCTCCAGATGGATGACGCTCTGCGCAATCGAAGAGTCCACCGCCTTGAAGATCCACGAACAAACCATAAGGTTGCATCGTCTCCACATAGGATATCGAGTGTCCTCCCTGTTTGGTGCTGATAGACTTCCATCGACAATGCACCACTTGTTCTTCACTTCTAGAGCAATTTTCATGGAAATACACCAAGAATTGTAGTTAGAACTACCTGTTAATGGAGGATTCACCAGAATGAGACTCGGATTGTCGTTCGTATTGAAGAGAAGAGGATTCTCCTCTCCGTTGTAGCTTCTCTGGTTCTGTGAATATGGATTCCACTGCGGAATTGTTCTGGAGCTGGAGGAACCGGCGATCGATTGGCCGGCGACTGATTAACTGATGTTCCGATGTGATCTTCTTCATCGGTTTCGCCGGTGCCGACGAGTGCAGCGGCGTAAGAGCTAAAACGCAGCTCTGATACCATATCGCAAAAAGGAAAGGCAAAGGAAACTGGTAAAGCTTTGTTATTCTAACGTGAACATCATACTGGAAATGAAAGTTGCTTACATGAAAGAGGTAACTGCCACCTTTATATACAAGAAGGGTGATGGCAGTTATAACAGAAAAAGAAACAGATATTTTTCTACTCAAAACAGATATTTTTCTACTCTTGTTGGCCTTCTTCCTCTAATACTACCGGTGCAATCTCACTACAACGACGACTCCCTCGTAGGTTAACACAACAATCTCTTTCTCCGTGCACTCGGGGCAAGCGGGGATTAGAACTTATACACCATACTCAGAGTAATAATGAGACACAAGAAAGAGATGTATAATCTTATCTGATTTATGAACTAATATAGTTCTCCTTTAAATAGTATAGGGCAAGATATAAGCCACATACTATCACATCAATAGTATTAAATCACTATCCTCCCAAATGCTTTGTCGGGTCGGGGTGTGGAGACCCTTAGAGTTGGGGTTCAGCCTTTTAGAAGAATAGTATTAAATCACTAATAAATCCCATGAAAATTGGGAACCACAATTATTTCATGATATGGCTTGCATTTTTCCGGACACATAAAAATTCATGATACGTAGACAACATGTGAGTTTAATTCATGTTTAATTTGTTCGAATATAGTTTTCTAAAACGTTTTTAAAATGTAAACAATAGTGACCGGAGGCTCACTGATCTCCCTATATAAAGCAATACTTTCTTTTTTTTAAAGTCATCTCATCATCAATAGCTATTCCTTTTTATAAACACTCTTGCATTATATTAATCCTTTGCTTCACTACACGTATCTTGCATTGTTCCACGCATTTCTTCTAAGAAAATGTCTGGTGAACAAAATCTCCCATCTAATCCCATATTGCTAGACTCTACCAACAAAGAAGAAAATCATCCCAGAACTGCCAATTACAAGCCAACCATTTGGAAATATGATTCGATCATAGTCTCTTACGAGTAAATATGCTGTTAGTATTCAACCATTTTTTTTAATATACTTTTATTATTACTGCATTTTGAGCACATAATACCAAGAAAAATATTATTTATACCTCCTAAGTTCCCACTAATATATAATTTCTCCTCATGATGTGGCTTATATTATTACCAACATATATGCTTATTTTATTTATGAGTGTACATTTACATGCAATGCAGTGAACATTATTGTTACGTTGATAATTGCATATATGAATTTACTGACACGGGAACGTAAGCTGACCTTTTTTTCTTTTTTTGAGTACTACTAACGTTGTGAATATAATTGATAATTTCAGGACGTGAAATACCAAAGAAGAGCTGAGAAGCTGAAAGAGGAAGTGTCGTGCCTTTTCGACA